CCCTTCGAAATTCGAACCGCACAACACCTTTTTATTTTATTTTTCATTTTTTTTATTATTAATCCATTTTCTGTTGTTTTACAAAGAAAGATGCACGACTTTACTCATAGATCACCTTACGCATGATAAACGTTCAAGTATATTGTAAAAAGAATTTAAAACAGTGGGAAAAAAACTCAAATTTCCTGGATTTTTCCTGTTTTTTCCCATTATTCGCCGTTTTCCCTATTTAAAAAAATTATTTCGTACATGTATGACCCACTAAAATACGGAAAAACACAATAATCTTGACCTCCGGACCACTTGAACACAGAAAGTCCGCCACAATTTCACTTCAAAATCCCTCTCAAGGTCATCTGTGCAATTGACCTTTGGGGACCCCCAAAGCTCCCCCTAATTCACCTATAAAAATTTCCTCGTACTGTATTGTTAGGACCATGGACCTCTACTTAGTGTCCGAGTTTGAAAATTATAACTTTATATTAAAAGGAGTTATATGGCTTCGAAATTCGAACCGCACCACACCTTTTTATTTTATTTTTCATTTTTATTATTATTAATCCATTTTCTGCTGTTTTTCAAAGAAAGATGCACGATTTTACTCATAGATCACCTTACGCATGATAAACGTTCAAGTATATTGTAAAAATAATTTAAAAGAGTGGGAAAAAAACCCAAATTTCCTGAATTTTTATTGTTTTTACCAATTATTCGCTGTTTTCCCTATTTAAAAAAATTATTTCGTACATGTAGGACCCACTAAAATACAGAAAAACACAATAAAAAAATAATATAATGCAAAATAAGCAAAAGAAAAAAAAAGAAAATTTTTTGAGAAGTTGCCGCAGCAGGGATTCGAACCCCTGCCCTCTCATCCCCGCCGTGAATTGCTAGTCCAGCGTCTTGACCTCGGGACCACTTGAACACAGGAAGTCAGCCATAATTTCACTTCAAAATCCCTCTCAAGGTCAGCTATGCAATTGACCTTTGGGGACCCCCACAGCTCCCCCTAATTCACCTATAAAAATTTCCTCGTATCGTATTGTTAGGACCATGGACCTCTACTTAATGTCAGAGTTTGAAAATTATAACTTTATATTAAAAGGAGTTAGATGGCTTCGAAATTCGAACCGCACCACACCTTTTTATTTTATTTTTCATTTTTTTTATTATTAATCCATTTTCTGTTGTTTTACAAAGAAAGATGCACGATTTTACTCATAGATCACCTTACGCATGATAAACGTTCAAGTATATTGTAAAAATAATTTAAAACAGTGGGAAAAAAACCCAAATTTCCTGGATTTTTCCTGTTTTTACCCATAATTCGCTGTTTTCCCTTTTTAAAAAAATTATTTCGTACAAGTAGGACCCACTAAAATACAGAAAAACACAATAAAAAAATAATATAATGCAAAATAAGCAAAAGAAAAAAAAAGAAAAAATTTTTAGAAGTTGCCGCAGCAGGGAATCGAACCCCTGCCCTTTCATCCCTGCCGTGAATTGCTAGTCCAGCTTCTTGACCTCCGGACCACTTGAACATAGGAAGTCTGCCACAATTTCACTTCAAAATCCCTCTCAAGGTCAGCTGTGCAATTGACCTTTGGGGACCCCCACAGCTCCCCCTAATTCACCTATAAAAATTTCCTCGTACTGTATTGTTAGGACCATGGACCTCTACTTAGTGTCCGAGTTTGAAAATTATAACTTTATATTAAAAGGAGTTAGATGGCTTCGAAATTCGAACCGCACCACACCTTTTTATTTTATTTTTCATTTTTTTTATTATTAATCCATTTTCTGCTGTTTTACAAAGAAAGATGCACGATTTTACTCATAGATCACCTTACGCATGATAAACGTTCAAGTATATTGTAAAAATAATTTAAACAGTGGGTAAAAAACCCAAATTTCCTGGTTTTTTTCTGTTTTTACCCATTATTCACTGTTTTCCCTATATAAAAAAATTATTTCGTACATGTAGGACCCACTAAAATACAGAAAAACACAATAAAAAAATAATATAATGCAAAATAAGCAAAAGAAAAAAAAAGAAAATTTTTCGAGAAGTTGACGCAGCAGGGATTCGAACCCCTGCCCTCTCACCCCTGCCGTGAATTACTAGTTCAGCGTCTTGACCACCGGACCACTTGAACACAGGAAGTCTGCCACAATTTCACTTCAAAATCCCTCTCAAGGTCAGCTGTGCAATTGACATTTGGGGACCCCCCCTGCTCCGCCTAATTCACCTATAAAAATTTCCTCGTACAGTATTGTTTGAACCATAGACCCCTACTTAGGGTCCAAGTTTGAAAAATATAACATTATATTAAAAGGAGTTAGGCGGCTTCGAAATTCGAACCACACCACACATTTTTATTTTATTTTTCATTTTTTTTATTATTAATCCATTTTCTGTTGTTTTACAAAGAAAGATGCACGATTTTACTCATAGATCACCATACGCAGGATAAACGTTCAAGTATATTGTAAAAATAATTTAAAACAGTGGGAAAAAAACCCAAATTTCCTGGATTTTTCCTGTTTTTACCCATTATTCGCTGTTTTCCCTATTTAAAAAAATTATTTCGTACATGTAGGACCCACTAAAATACAGAAAAACACAATAAAAAAATAATATAATGCAAAATAAGCAAAATAAAAAAATAAATAAAAATTTTTGAGAAGTTGCCGCAGCAGGGATTCGATCTCCTGCCCTCTCATCCCTGCCGTGAATTACTAGTCCAGCGTTTTGACCACCGGACCACTTGAACACAGGAAGTCTGCAACAATTTCACTTCAAAATCCCTCTCAAGGGCAGCTGCGCAATTGACCTTTGGGGACCCCCCATCCCTGCTCCGCCTAATTCACCTATAAAAATTTCCTCGTACTGTATTGTTAGGACCATGGACCTCTACTTAGTGTCCGAGTTTGAAAATTATAACTTTATATTAAAAGGAGTTAGATGGCTTCGAAATTCGCACCGCACCACACCTTTTTATTTTATTTTTCATTTTTTTTTATTATTAATCCCGCTCAAACCATTCGTACTCGCGCACTGTCCTAACCACTTTGCCACGCAATACATATCGTAACCACGAATATTTAGCTCAATGAGAACTCTCCCGGTGAGTTAAATAAAAAAGTTTTCGGCTCATCGTGGGGACCCTATTTGCTTTTCCTTTTTTTTCCTTTTTCCTTTTTTACGACTGTTCGGCCTATGGAATCCTACTTTCGAGCCGAGTTTGAGCATTATAGCTTAGTATTGAAGGGAGTTACGTGGTTTTTACAGGTGCTTGCCGACCTGGTATATTTCTGTCCTTTCTTCGGCCATTATATTTATTATTCACATCTTTAACAAAGAAAGGTACTTGTTTTTATACGTAGAACCCATTTTATTAACGCTAAAATATCGAAAATATTGAAAAAGAAGATAAAATAAAAATAAATAAACAAATTATCTAGTATTTTTCCTTTCTTTCCCATTATTTGCTCTTTCCCGATTGAATTTTTTTTTATTGGCGATCGAAATGGGCTACAGGTGGCGTAGAGCAGAACTCTTTTCCTATGGCAACACTTCACATGCTTTCCCCATTAGCGTGTGGAAAGTCATAGAGGAAGGAAGTACGTTAGTTTCTCTCTTGATTTTCATATAGATTAAAATCTTTTAACTTGAAAAACTATATGGAACTGAAAACTACATTAAACATAGTTCTAAAGAAAAGTATCATGGAAATTTTAAAAAATATTTTTATTAAATAAAAAGGAAAAATATTAAGAAAAGGGAAAATATCGTAGTACATTCCTATACAACTGAAAAGAGGAGGAGAGGGAAGGGAGAAGGGCTAAAGGCATGAAACTGGTCTCTCCCCAAATGGCGTATTCATATGTTGCGATCGCGAATATATAGAATCCTTTCAAGTATCGAAAAACACAATAAAAAATTAATTTAAAATAAAATAAACAAAACAATTTAAAATTGACCACCGCCGTGATTCCAACCCGCGTAATCCAGCTCAACCAATCCTACTCATGCACAGCCCGAACCACTGGGCCACGCCATACACGGTGTTATCACGAATATTTAGCTTAATTAGAACTCTCCCGGTTAGTCAAATAAAATAATTTTTTGCCTATTGCTAATTTGCTCTATAAAAATTATTATTTGGTATGGTTGTTCGGCCTAATGGAACACTACTATCATGCCGAGTTTGAACATTATATCTTGATATTAAAGTTGTTGTTGTTGTAGTTCATTTACGTCGCACTAGAGCTGCACAATGGGCTATTGGCGACGGTCTGGAAAACATCCCTGAGGATGATCCAAAGACATGCCATCACAGTTTCGATTCTCTGCAGAGGGGATGGCGCCTTCACTTCGGTAGCCCGACGACCTGCACGCGAAATCGAGCTCTTTACGGTAGAACAGTTTAGCGAGGACCAATACTGCACACCCTCTGTCCCTACGCAGAATGATCCAAGTGGTCACCCACCCGCACACTGACCGAAGCCAGTGGTGCTTGACTTCGGTGATCTGCTGGGAACCATGTCTTAACGATTAGTCCGCTGCGGGACTTGATATTAAAGCGAGTTACGTGGTTTTAACCCATCTTCTCCCAGATGGTGAATTTGTGAATTGTGAGCATCACTGGCCTCACTTGTGAGCTCAAGTATCACTGGCTGCTGTCAGTGCGCGGGTTGGTCACCACTTGGATCAGTCTGCGTAGGGACCGAGAATTTGCGGTATGGATCCTCGTTAAACTGTTCGACCGTAAAATGCGTGACTTCGCGTGCAGGTTGTTAGGCTACCGAAGCGGGGGTGCCATCGACTCTGCAGAGGATCAAAATTGTGATGGCAAGTCTTCGGATCACCCTCAGGATGTTTCCCAGACAATCGCTAATAATAGCCCGTTGTGCAACTCTAGTGCGACGTAAATGAACTAGAACAACAAATTACCTCAAGACTGCTTTTGCTGTAAAAGTCACATTTACAGCAACGCGTATGCGTTATATAATCGAAATGCTTTGGGAATTTAATCGTAATCTTATTTCCATTGAACTGTAGTTTTGATTATTTCATCCAGTTTTCCTGTTCACGTCAAAATTTATAAGTTATTGTTTGTGTTTTCTACACTTATAAGGCAATACTTGACACTTCAATTATGTCATTTCAAAATAGTGAGTATTTTTAAAATTTGACTTTCCTGCATTTTGTTATAATTTAAGTAAATTGTTTTCTAATTATGTGGGTGGTTGCCGGTAATACTATCACCTTTCTCAGGTGTTATAAATAACGCAGGTCTACAACGTAAATTTTTTTTGTTAAAAGTTTTGTGTCAAACTAATTGTGCAATGATGTCTGTTATTTAAAATTAAATATATTGATTGAGGAGTAAGATTTATTGTAACAGATATTTATAATATTTTTTTCTGTTTTTAGAAAATGTAAATAATTTTAAGAAAGTTTGAAAAGCATGTTCAATGAAGCATAGTTTCTTATTAAAAATGTGGGATATTTTTTTTTTTAGAAATTCGTTCTAAAATTGATTTCATTTATGAAAACGTGATGCAAACAGTGGCAAGGTTTTTGTTTGTGTTTAGCTCTAGCATCATATAGGAAGAGAGGAATCGATTAAGTTTTCTAAAGGCCATTCTTTATTTAGGTTTTACTTGTTTCTAAGATATTTCGGGGATATTTCTTTGTTTATTTAAAGAAAAGATTGAAAATCTTTGATCGAACTATTTATTTTAATGAAGCTCTCATTTGAAAATAACAAGTTGGAATTTCTTCCAGAACCAAAAAGAAGAGAAAAAAAAAATGTGTCTTGAAAATGACCAAGACATTTGTTAAGCAATATTATGAGAATAATATAAATTTAAGCAAATAAAATTTAATTTGCCGTACCAGAAAGTTTTTGAAATCTGTTTTCTTTCATTAATTTTAATTTTATGATGAAATTTGGTTTTTCTAGATTCCTTTATGTAAAATAGTAAAAAAAATCAAATATCTATTTAATTCTTAAAAATTTATTATTCCCCCCTCCCCTGATTGTTCTCCAACTGCCACCTTTTAGGCTTTCACCTATTAAAAATTGTTTTACAGTGAAGCCTCACATTGCCGAAACTCCTACAAATTGGACACCTCAGTATGGACGTATTTTTAATTTTCTTGTGGACATATTTTTAATCTTCTTTAAATAAAACATGTACCCTCCTCCACAAAGTGGTCACTCCACACTTATGTACCCTCCTTCACAAAGCGGACACTCCACACTTATGTAGCTTCCTCCACAAAGCGGACACTCCACACTTATGTAGCCTCCTCCACAAAGCGGACACTCCACAAAGCGGACACTCCACACTTATGTAGCCTCCTCCACAAAGCGGACACTCTACACTTATGTAGCCTCCTCCACAAAGCGGACACTCCACACTTATGTACCCTCCTCCATAAAGCAGACAATCCATTTATGTACCCTCCACAAAGCGGACACTCCACACTTATGTACCCTCCTCCACAAAGCGGACACTCCACACTTATGTACCCTTCTCTACAAAGCGGATGCTCCACTTATGTTCCCTCCTCCACAAAGCAGACACTCCACACCTATGTACCCGCCTCCATAACCGAAACTCCCCCCCCCCTGTAATAAGCAAGGCAAGGGTCTTGCTGCGATCCAGGCTTTTGGACAATCTTTTACGACTCGTTGTTGAAATTGGATTTCCCACCAAATGTTCACATTGTTGTGATGAGCTGCTCTTGCTTATTACTGCGAAGTCTGAACTTGAATTGGTAATTTTTGTGTGTCAAAAATCTTGGATTGGTTGAACATAAATAAAATAACATTTAACTCAGAAAGGACTAATATCTTGCTTTTATCAACAAAAAAACGAATTAGAAGAGAAATTAAAATATATATGAATGGCAATATATTGAATAGTGTCAGTGAGATGAGATATCTGGGAGTGATTCTTCATTCTTGATAGGAAACTTTGCTGGAATGCACACATTACAAATATGTTCAAAAAAGTTAGCTACACTCTCAATACCTCCCCAGATTGGCAAAGGTGACCTGCGGCATGGGTTCAAAGACCTTGAAAATTATTTATGATGGAGCTATCTTGCCTCAGCTAACTTATGCTGCACCAGTATGGTTCGATGGAATCCGCTACAATTATAACAGGCGCAAGCTAAGAACAATCCAGAGACTTATAGCCCTACAAATTATTAAAGGTTTTCATACGATCTCGTATGAGGCTTCTTGTGTTCTAGCTGGAATTGTACCAATCTGCATTAAAATACAGGAATGTGCAGACATTTACTTTAAAGTGAAGCCAGATGCATTGAGTGATACAGAGTCAAATCTTCCCTTAAGATATTAGCGACATCCTGGAAGGGTTACTTCTACCAACTATAACTTAAATAGTGTTGACCATCTTCAAATTTACGCAGATGGAAGCAAAATCAATAATTGCACAGACTGCACTTTTTTGGCTTATTACAATGATAATGTTACCTAAAGATAATTTAAGCTTCACCCTAATTGTTCTAATAACCAGGCGGAGGCTTCTGCCATTCTCCAATCTTTGAACTGGATGAACTCCAAGGATGACTTCTCATTCAATAACATCATACTATTCACAGATAGCCAAGTCAACATATCTAAAATTCAAGACAGGAAGTGCCATGGCGATAGGTGCTACTGAAAATATCAGTTTCATGATTTGGAAACTCTCTACACGAAACATCAATATAACCATTAATTGGGTCAAGGGCCATTCTGGAGTTATCGGAAATGATAAGGCTGATGAGCTTGCAAAAGCGGCGGTCGAATCAGATCTCACCATCAGCTTCAGTAAATTGCCTAAATCTCTTATCAAAAATGATATTCTTCGAAAGACCCGGGATTTGTGGCACGATGAGTGGGACTCCGCAAAAAAAAAAAAAACGGCAATGTAACAAAGAAGTTTTTTCCATCAGCGCGAGAAAGAATGACCCAAAAATTCATTCCCAATTTTAAATTTACACAAATCTTATCCAGACACGCTCGTTGTAAAGAATACCTACTTAGATTCAAGCACATAGAATCTCCACTCTGCAGCTGTGACCAAAATAAAATTCAAAATATTGAACATATTTTATTCTTCTGCCCTGAATTAAACTCTCATCGTAGTGAACTTTTCAAACATATAATCACTAGTGGATTACAATGGCCACCAAACTGTCCTACTCTGATCAATACTGACTGTCTACTAATTTTTCTAAAGTTTGTTCATAATATCCCTTTTCTTTCTTTTTGATTTTACTTGTCTGCTTTTATATTTGTATTTCATTTTGTATTTTTGATCTAAATTTGTTATTCTTATTCTTCAATGCATGTATTATAACTCTTATGGAGCATGCTGGAAATAATTATTTTAAAATAAAAACTCCACTTATGTACCCTCCTCCACATAGCGGTAACCGGACACGTATTGTCATGTCTTGATAGATTATTTTCTATAGGTTTAGGTTTAGACAGAATGGATAGGTTTAGGACAGAATGGATTAATCCACGGTTTAAACCCTGGTTTAAACCATCCTGTCCAAAACCCCTTTGCCCAAAACTGTCTTAAACTGTCCAAAACCCTTGTACTCAAATTATGTCACAATTTTATCTGAACAATATTTAAGAGGTAAAATAAATATAGAACTAATAACATATTGATAATTAAATATACCAGAGAATATTTGTTTTTAAAAGTATAATGTTTTATTAATATTGTTTGACTCTTCAATTTAAACAAAGGAAGATTAATCAGTAATCAAGTTCAATTGGTCCTCTCATTCAATAGTACATAACTGAAGTTTGGCCTAGCCATACAGGTTAAAATATTAGGGACTAAGTGCTCGGTTCGTCATAAACAGGTTTATTTATCTATAGTACTATTCAAGAATACTTTTATTTCATTGATGATGTTCAATTCTTTTAGCATTGTGGTGATACATCACCAGTGTCAGTAGCTGAAACTGATGTTATGCCCATCGAAACTGTTAATGCATTTTTCAGTTATTTTGTATTTTCAATTTAAACTAATATATTTATATTTAAAAAACATTTCTTTCTAAAATAGATGTCTTTTTTATCATCCTGTGATGCAGAAATTATAACATTTTTTAAAAAAAATAAAAGGTTGATTTTTGAACAAATTTAGTATTTTTTTTAAGAAAAATTATTATTTTTCAATATTGCCATATTTATCCTTATGCAAAAATATTATTTATCAGTATTAAAAGCATATTTATATTTAAAGGATTAGTTATTCATTTTTATTGCTCAATGAATTGTGGAGCTTCAAAAATTATAAACCGTTTCCTATTATATTATATTATTTTCTTTTAATAAGTTATAGTAAATTGCATAAAAAATATCAAATATTTATTGATACATGTAATTATTATGTGTACAATGGTTACACCTTTAGAATTTTTACCTTTTACCAAATTTCAAGGTTTTGGACACTTTAAGACAGTTTAACCCAGTTTAGGGCAGTTTAACCCAGTTTAGGGCAGTTTTACCCAGTTTAGGACAGTTTTACCCAGTTTAAGACAGTAAAACCCACGTGTCCTGTCCAAAATCAGTTTAGGACGTCCAAAACCCCAACCCTGCTTCAAACCTGATGCAAATTTTTCTAAATTAAAAAACTATTTTTTCTTTGAACTCTAAAAATAATTTGCAACTTCCTACCAGTACCAACGAACCAATCATTCTCTTGTCATCTTTCTTTATCTTTGCAAAGAAAGAATGAGATACTTTCTCAGAAGAAATATACCTTATTTTTAAAGAATTCTGACTCCTAAAATATGGGGGGGGGGGTTACACCAAGTTCCCCATAGTTTAGTCAGCAGAGCAGTCCAAAGTTTGGCCTCTTAATGTTAATTTTATATTTCGCCTCCCTCCAGAACTTTTTAAAGGAGTCAATTTGAAATTTTTGCACACAATTAAGCATTCTTTTTATCCATGCTGCATGTGAGTTTTAGTAATTATTTATCATTTATTATATTATTTAATATGAGTAAGAAAAATTTTTTCCATCAAGTTTTTTCTAATTTCATTAAAGAAAGTGTTTATTTATTTTGGTTTATACTAATGTTCTTTTTTGAAGCAAATATTTCAGTTAATACCAAATATAAATTTTTTTTATTAAATATTGTTGTAGACATTTTTATTTCTATTTATTTTATTTCAAATAATTATATAGGATGACAAAGGGGGTAGAGCGGTATATGTGCACGAAAACTGATTCTGAGAAGAAGAAAAAAGATAGAAGCGTGTAGACACGGGAAAGTTACTTTTTTAAAATGTTTAGCAAAAGTACAAAGGCTTAAAGGAAAAGTAATGAGTAAGAAGATCTAATTCGGAAAAGTATCTAGTAAAAAGTGCAAGTATATCTGTTCCGCAAAACTAGTTACAGTACTTGACTATATTATTAGAAGACACACTATAAGATTCTGTGCAAAATTATAATTATCAAGTGATACTATACAGCTGCATTGTTTTTACTCTGGATGAAATCGGTTTGCATTTGTTTATGCTCTTGTATCAATGGGTTAACATTGTAATGCAATACGCTCAAAATGAATATAAATGGGAAGTATATAAAAAATCCTCCCAATAAGAACCCAAAACATTTATGTTTAAATATAAAAGTATTGCCTATAAATTCGTGCAAATCATGTCATTTTTAAGAAACTACAGTGCGTTTCACAATTTCATATGATTATTATAGTATACTAATATAATACCTGATATAATAAATATTCTATATTTATACTATATATCGTCTAATTTATTCTATCGTCAAATTTATATTTTATATCGTCTAATTTAACCCATTGATACACTGATAAGGAAGTGTAAACCGGTATCAGTCATATAAAAACAATAAAGCTGTATAGCAGTGTTTCCTAAACTTCTGACTTTTGTGTACCCTTCCTAAATTTTTCGTAACGCTGTGTACCACTCATAAAAAAATTTATTTTTTGCTCGAAACAAAATTGTGCAAAAGTTAAAAATGACAACTGGCTGTTGACACCACTGATTATTAACTGTTAACTCTGCAAAAAATAGGTTATTGAAAAATACGTAATTGTAAATTTTCATAACCAGCTTTGTTTTTAAATAAAGTTTTTTGAAATTTTCGTTTGTTCGATCGATTTGAAAGTTTCGTTTGAATATTTCACATAAGAATGCGTGCCCCTGCTGAACTGTTCACGTACTCCTGGGGTATGCGTACCATCCTTTGAGAAACACCGCTGTATAGTATCACCTGATAATAAAGATTTTACATAGAAATGGAAGGAATCAAAGTAACCTAAACTTTTATTAAAAAATGTATAAACTGATTGCTATGTGCGGCAAGCTGTTTTTCCACACATCTATAAAGTGACTTTTGAGGACGTTATTGCCTTGTTTTGGAAATTATCATTTTTATAAGATAATCCATTACCCCTGGTCTTCATAATATTTTTCTTATGTGTTATTAATGAATTTTTATGTAATTGTCAAAATTTTTAATATTTAAAGCAGCAAAAAAAAATAATGGCGAAGGATTTTAATAAAAATGATTTGAAATGAAATGTATTGATTTAAAGATTTTAGAAATGTTTATTTATTTTCTGTCATCACAAGGCTAATATCTTATTTTTGTTGCAGGAACCATTTTATCTACGCTCCCTCGTACTGAAAGAGGCATGCCCCTTGTTTTAGGGGATGATCCTAAAGGAAAAACATTTTTGTATACAAATGGACATAGTGTAATTATTCGAGACATTGTTGTGAGTTTCTTTAATTTATGTACTTAATTTTTTATTTTGAATACATTCATAAAATTGGTCAGGTTAAAAGAAGCTCATTCTTTTTCTTTTTTGTTAAAAGAAAAAAAAATTCTTGATTTCCATAGAAATTGATTTTAATTATCATGTAGTATTTTTTTTTTTTACTGGGAAAAATGATTGTTTTGGTTTTTTGTGTGCCTTAACCCTTTGACTACTAACGGGACTCATTTGTCCCTTAGAAACTCATTGTAATATGTCCCAGTTGTAGAGTTGAACCAAGTATACATGTTTCAAGTGCCAAATATCCCCTAGATGGCACTAAAGAGTTTCTTGCATGAAATAGCATTGGGATTTTGTGATGGGACACATATATCCCATTAGTATTCTTCATTGGGACAGATATATCCCACTCGTATTCTTCATTGGGATTGCTATGTCCATTCATATTTTATTCATATTTTCTCAAATGAATATAGAAAAAAGAACAAATATGAGTTGTCCAAGTGTAATGTCGGATCATACAAAGATTGCTTCACTCTGTGTAAAAAAAGTCCATATAGTAAATTTTTCTGAAATGTATCCTACCATTAAGTATGGCCGGGACATATATGTCCCAGCCTCTAAATTGATAACCGCTTGTCAGAAAAATCCCAAATACTAAATTTGCCTTATTTGTGACCTATTTTGTCCTTTTGTATAATAAACGGGACAAAAAATCATGTTTTAAAATTCATAGTCAAAGGGTTAAAGACCTATTTCTGTTAAGATCTGTATTCTGAAATTGCAAAGGAACATGCATTTAGGATATTGTTAGAGGTAAATTTATCATTCATCATCACATATTCATCCCCTTGGCAGATTTTTTTTGGGCTTTCTGCGCCGAACTTCTGTAACACGAATATTTTGCTTTAAGATACTTTTAATTATAACAATTACTAATTTAAAGTAACAGAAATGTTGCATTTACAAAAGAAATTACAGAATAAAAATGTATAAAAATTTTTAATTGTCAAAGTAATATTTTTTTAATTCTAATAATATAGGCGATATTCTCACACTTTGCAGGTGGAAAATGCAATTTCGAATTTTGTAAATCATTACACAAATTAAAATTCGTAAATAAATTAAACAATGATAAATTTAAATTCGTTCATAAATTGAAAATTTAAAAATCTGTGCAGAACTCCCAAAGTAAAGATCACGAATCACTAGAATAGGACTCTTTAAAAAAGATACTCAAATAAGTGTACGTAAAAGAAAAAAAATGAAAGATAGAACATCATTTCTGGAGTGAACTATCTTTAAACTTTCGCAATTTCTGAATGTTTTGCTTTGTATTATTAATTTGAAATTCTAGCTGAAGCCAGTTATTACAGAATTTTTTTTTAAAAAAAAATCTCGGGTGAGAATAGAAAGATTACGATTATTTCTGTCCTCTCTGATGCGCAAGAAAGACATCCTTGAAAAAGAAAATTCTGCAGAAGAGAAAAACATTTTTCGAATAATTATGCGGAAAGGAGAACCAAAATCTTTCTGCAAAAACTATTCTGTGACAATATCTCCACAATTCTGGGGAATTCACAAATTTTAAATGTGATTACTGTTTAATAGTTAAAAAAAAATTCTTTTGTACAAGACTAATATGTATTTTTGTTTATTTAGGAGCCTCGAATATCTGATATCTATACTGAACACGCCGTTCAGACAACAGTTGCTAAATATTCGCCTAGCGGTTTTTATATTGCTTCTGCAGGTAATTTTAATAATTCATTTAGTTTGACAATTACTTTTTAAAAATTATTTTAGTACTGTACTTAAAATACGAAACATTTGCAGTCTTTAATTTCTTCATATACCCTCCTGTTTCAACTGTTTAATTTAATAAAACTTTTTTATGAGGCTATTTACTTAATTGCTTATAATTTTTTCAATCTTAATTTTCTCTTATCAAAACTTTTTGTTTCTAATCGATTCATTTTTGATTACTTGTTGACTGATTAAAGGGCCTTCTTTCCTCATGAATAAACTCGACTGCTAACAAAAAATAAAAAAAAAAATGAATGAGGGGTCTTTTAATTCGATGTGAAAGTAAAGTTTAGCATAAAAGGCTACTTTTTATTCCTTAACTTGCTGGTTCCTAATAAATTTTGTAAACATTTGCATTTAATGATGTGTATTTCATGCATAAATTGCTGTTGAATATTTAGTCTACTTCACAGGGTCATTTAAAACTTTTAAAATACAAGATTGCTACCACTGAGAATACGACAAATACTTGCTGTGAATATTCTAGAATTTTGATAATTTGATTTTTGCTACGTCTTATGTAAAGACGTGCTTTTCAGATTGTTCTGTTCAATGTTTTCATGATTCATTCGACCACAATCCGTTTAGGCGTACCGCCGATCTACTTCACGTGAAAGCTGCGATATATTTACATGTTTGATGGAATACTTGGCGAGTCTGTCTACTGAGCTGGATTCGGTGAAATTATTGCACTCTCGTGTGCAACTCTGTTGCATTTTGTTAAAAATTCTCCATTTCAGGCTTTATTTTCGACCCGCTGATGTCGAGCCAAAAATACTCTTCATCTTTTAATAATGGCTAATGTAATCAAGAAAAATAGTTCTTTGTCAGGAACTAATTATTTTATCATGATCATGTAAAGTCGTTGAAAATTATTATGCCTTTTGTAATTATTAATGTAATTAAATTATTAATGTATGTAGTGCTTAAAAATATTTTTTAAGTGTTTAAGAAGTACTTAAAAGGTGCTTATTTTTTGTTAAAAGATTTGGCTACGCACCTTGTGTAGCAAATTAGCTATACAATGTAAAGTCGCGTATCCAGAATCGGTGGGACTTCCAGAAGTCCGTATAATAGATTTTTCCGTATAATAGACCCCCAAGGTAAACAAAGCTTAAAATGATTTAATAAACGATCTGAATCTAAGAAGCAAAAAATAAATAAACATTATTTTTAAGGGGAATAATGTTTTAGCATTAGAATATCTAATCAATAAAATCTGAAATATTAGAAAAAAAATATTATTCCTTAAAATATAGAAAACGAAAAAAAAAAATTGACATATGAAAATAATAATCGGCCATTTTTAACTAGAATGATTCAAGCAAGAAAGGGAAATTCCCGTCATTCATTAAAGTGGGTAGGTGGAGGAGAAAAATTCATTTCCTTCTTATCTGTGAAAGAAAATAAGTGTAAAGAGGAGATCATTTAAGTTGAGGGTGGGGAAGTAACAAATTATTCTTTTCTCTCCAGTCATTGGCTATCAATCAAGCATAAAGGCGGGGCACGCTGTTCCGGTTCTCTTTATTTTTTCTTCTGTGACTGAAAGAATCTGCTAAAGAGAGAATGTTACCCCCTTTTTCCCCCGCCTCCTAAATATTACATGGTATGGGGAAGAACGAATGTTTTGTTTCTCAAGGACGTGTATCCTTTTAGACCTATTCAAATTTTCCATTTTGACTCCCCCTCCACCTTAACGCTTGNCTTTACCCGCTTCTTTGATTATCCAGAGTTGACTCAGTATTACATTCAAATATCTAAGCAAATATTTATTACCCTAAGAAAACTAAGACATAGCAGAATTAAAGAACATTTTATAATTATGCTTCATTCTCTCATTCCTGAGAGAATGAAGCATAATTATAAAATGTTCTTTACCCGCTTCTTTGATTATCCAGAGTTGACTCAGTATTACATTCAAATATCTAAGCAAATATTTATTACCCTAAGAAAACTAAGACATAGCAGAATTAAAGAACATTTTATAATTATGCTTCATTCTCTCATTCCTGAGAGAATGAAGCATAATTATAAAATGTTCTTTACCCGCTTCTTTGATTATCCAGAGTTGACTCAGTATTACATTCAAATATCTAAGCAAATATTTATTACCCTAAGAAAACTAAGACATAGCAGAATTAAAGAACATTTTATAATTATGCTTCATTCTCTCATTCCTGAGAGAATGAAGCATAATTATAAAATGTTCTTTACCCGCTTCTTTGATTATCCAGAGTTGACTCAGTATTACATTCAAATATCTAAGCAAATATTTATTACCCTAAGAAAACTAAGACATAGCAGAATTAAAGAACATTTTATAATTATGCTTCATTCTCTCATTCCTGAGAGAATGAAGCATAATTATAAAATGTTCTTTACCCGCTTCTTTGATTATCCAGAGTTGACTCAGTATTACATTCAAATATCTAAGCAAATATTTATTACCCTAAGAAAACTAAGACATAGCAGAATTAAAGAACATTTTATAATTATGCTTCATTCTCTCATTCCTGAGAGAATGAAGCATAATTATAAAATGTTCTTTACCCGCTTCTTTGATTATCCAGAGTTGACTCAGTATTACATTCAAATATCTAAGCAAATATTTATTACCCTAAGAAAACTAAGACATAGCAGAATTTGTCAGTACGTTTGTTTTGTTTAATCACATTTTTACTGGGCTGAAAGCAAAATATATAAATAAATAATCTGCTGTATGCCAAGTTTTGCTGTCGGATTGTCGGTCTGCACACATAATTTTTGCGATTATATGCACCCTGTTTCTAAATTTACATAAAAAAAAAAAGGGTAAGTGGCGTATCACTTCACTGGTGTTAAGAAAGTATCACTTAGTGTTGTCCCTTGTTTCAAAAACTATCATACAAGGACTCATATTTAACTTTTTTTTAAATTTAACTTAGAGCTTGTGTATTATGTTTTGTTTTAGTTCCTTGTATTTATTTAATGAAATAAAAAAAATAGGTTGATTTATTTTTTTTGCATTTTTTTTCCCTTCAAAAAATTATTGTTATGGGAAGCGGTTAAAGGTTTATTTCATGTTATGTTATGTGTTTATTTTATGTGAATAACCATAGATTAACTTTCTTACTCATAGACATATCTGGCAAAGTTAGAATCTGGGACACAGTGAACAAAGAGCACATCCTAAAGAATGAGTTTCAACCATTTGCTGGGCAGATAAAGGATCTTTCGTGGAGTCCTGACAATCAACGGATCGTAGTCGTTGGTGAAGGAAGAGAAAGGTTTGTAAGCTTTCACTGCAGGTCACAAAAATGTTTTAAACCCATCATACAACATGCTGTAGGACATCTGTGCACCTGGAAAATTATGAAAAATCACAGAAAGTCATGGATTTCGGTATTGAACAAAATTTGTCATGATTTTAACTATTTTTTTAAAAAAAAAATCATGCATTTAGGTCGCCTAAAAATCTCATTTTAAAAATGGACGGGGTTTCTGTGCACCTGGAAAGTCATGAAAAATCTTGGAAAGTCAAGAATTTCAGTATCGATCAAAATTTTTTATGAAATGTCATGATTTTAACTATTTAAAAAAAAATCATGAAACGTTATGGATTTAGGTCGCCGAAAAATCAAATTTTTAAAATGGAATTCACCCCTCCCCCATTTTATGGTGTTCCGAATATCTGAATTTCTAACTAAATCCCCACTCACAGTAATGTTTGATTAAAATATAAAATGTTTTTATTGTGTTTTTTAAAAATGATGGTGTTCTTTCAAAAAAAGGAAAGAAAAAGCATAATTTCTAGAGCAATATATCTTTTAAACTTCTGTGATTTCAGAATTTTTTTTTAATTTTATCAATTTAAAATTCTAGCTGAAGCAAGCCAGTCATTGGCAAATTTTTTTTATATTCCGAAGAGAGATCCGAAAAATCAGGATTATTTCTTTCCTTTCCGATGAACAAGAAAAGTATATTTGGAAATATAATTCTGCAAGAAAAAAATTATTTGCTTTTGTATTTTTTTCCAGCTTTTTTATTGCTTCAACTCTTTCTTTATTCTGGTTTTTAAATTTAAAACCTATAAATATGAAGATGCAGAGTATACCAGTTTTGGTTATACCTATAAGTTCAATTAATGTTATTATAATGCTTTTTTAAATGTATTGTTGTGTTTTTGTCAGAGAAAATAGTAACTTTGTTAAGTCATGAAGCATTCTTGGAATGAGTCATGGAAAGTCATGAATTTGAGAATCTAAAATGTAGCAGATACCCTGAATGGAATCCCCCCCCCCCCAATATCACAGTGCTCTGAATTTGTAATAAAATCTCCACTCACAGTCACATTTTGTTAAAATATTAGATGTTTTTATCCTGTTCTTTGAAAATGATGTTGTTCTTTAAAAAAAAAATGAGCCAAAGAACATCATTTCTAAAGCGAATTATATTTTAAACTTCTGTGATTTCAGAATTTATTTATTTATTATCTTTTAATTTACTATATAAACTTTTAAAACTCTAGCTGAGGCAAGCCAGCGATTGGGGAATTTTTTTAAATTCCGGAGTGAGAACAGAAGAATTGGGAGCATTTCTTTCTCTACGGATCAAAAAAAGAAATTTATCTTTAGATATAATTCTGTAGAAAAAAAAAGGGGGGAGGGAACGTCAGCAGAAAAGGAAACCAAAATTTTTAACTTCCCAAAAGAAAAATCCCTTTTACCTTTCTGTAAGAACTCAATTAATTCATGGTGTGTATCGTTTTTAAAAAGTACTTAAAGGTGCTCATTTTCGATTTTTATTTTCTAATACAGTTAATTTTTATTGGGTGTTTTTAAAAAGTGCTTCATTTTTCTTTACCAAGTCGATTTTCGTCATGTATTATGCAAAAGTGTGCTTTTCATATTGTTCTATTAAACAGTTTCCCAATTCATTCAACCACATTATATTTTGGTATACTGTCAATCTGTAGTGTATGAAAGTGCCAATCATTTTACATGTTTGATGAAATACTTGCGAGTCTGCATGTGCGTCAACTGAGCTAGGTTCGGTGAGATTCTTACACTCTCAGAGAGTGGCAGTTATCTAGTGGTTAAAAACTGATGCTGAGTGGTTTAGCAGATAAGGGAGAATTATTAAATTTTTGTTGCGTTTTTGTCAGAGAAAATAGTAACTTCGGTAAGTCGTGAAAAATTCTTGGATTGAGTCAAAAAATCATTTTGGATTCGAAAATCCAAAATGTTAGATACCCTTCACATTGCTTAAAAACGAACTAAATAACTTCACCGGGTGAAGTTCACCCACATAAAATAAATCATTTTTAAGATGTGCAATCGTTTTAACAAATTGAAGCACATTTTGATTGCACATTGCACCCCAAAAACTCAAAAAAAGCATTTGTAAACTATTCATAATTTGAAAAAAAAAAGAAAAAAGAAATGACATACTAAGCAGTTGTAATCCTCAAATAATAAAATAATTTTTCAAAACCATGGAGGTTAATTAAAATAACTAAATTAAGCATAAAGGTATAACAAATCAAAAAAAAAAAAGTCCAAAACATATGTATGTCAAATTGAACAGTTATTGAAACGTTACCTAAAATTTTCATTGGAATGTAGAAAAATAGTTGTCGGTATTTCTGATATGATTCATTCCATGTGACATTAGTCAATGCTGCCTCACATATCATTCATTATTCTGAAAATTTTTGGTTGAATAATAATTTTTCAAATTCTTTTGACCAAAAAAAAAATGGTTAAGGGTTACTGCTCAGTTTTATTTTAAGTTAATTAGCTTTGTATTTAATTCTTATGACCTGTAGAGGCGTTTAATTGTGTCAGCTAGAATACCGTTCAAGTCCAAGATAAAAAGATAAAGGTTTGGGTCGAAGGTGAGAAGATTGAACGGTGTAGTTTCTACGTGGAAGGATACTTGCTAACAAACGCTACCGATGACCACCGCTAGGAGTGAACACTCTTCTCTTCGTTATTTAAGGAGTTGTTGCAGCTTCCGGAATCTCGTTCAGATACTTAGTTTTCCCCAGTGACGCTCCCCTTCAGAGGAGATGCTTGCTATCGACCCATTCAAGTTTTTAATTGTTCTTAATAACCAGTTTTATGTCTTGTTTGTTGTCAGCTTTATATAGGGTATCTGCTCACCTAGAAAGTCATGGATTTCGGTATGAAACAAAATTTGTGATGAAATGTCATGATTTTAACTATTTTTAAAAAAAAAAAAAAAATCATGGAAAGTCATGGATTTAGGTCTCCGAAAAATCGAATTTTTAAAATGGTGTTCCGAATATCTGAATTTGTAACAAAATCCTCACTCACAGTCATATTTGATTTAAAATAAAATATGTTTTTATCGTGTTCTTTAAAAATGATGGTGTACTTTCAATAAATGGAAGAAAAAACATCATTTCTAGAGCGAATTATCTATTAAACTTCTGTGATTTTAGAATTTTTGTCATTATTAATTTTTTTTATTTTATCTATTTAAAATTCTAGTTGTAGCAAGCCAGTTATTTGCAAATTTTTTTATTCCGAAATGAGAATAGAAAAATCAGGAGTATTTCTCTCCTTTCCGATGAACAAGAATAGTACCTTTAGAATGTAATTATGCAGGAAAAAAAAATTTGCTTTTGTATTTGTTTCAGCTATTTTAGGGCTTCAACTCTTTCTTTACTTTGTTCTTTTTTAATTTAAAATCTATAACTATGAAGATGCAGAGTAGAACAGTTTTGGTTTTACCTATATTTTCAGTTAATGTTATTATAATGCTTTTTTAAATGTATTGTTGTCCAAGAAAACAGTAACTTTGTTAAGTCATGAAAAATTCTTAGAATGAGTCATGAATTTGAAAATGTAGCAGATACCCTGTTTATATTAAAGAAGTATTTTTATTTGACATCATTTATTGTAGTTACTCTCTCGTTTGCCATGATTGATGATAAATATTTGTTTGATTTCAGATTTGGTCATGTCTTTATGGCTGAAACTGGCACTAGTGTTGGAGAAATATCGGGGCACAGTAAGCTTATCAATTCTTGTCATTTTCGCCCCAAACGGCCCTTTAGAATTATCACTGGCAGTGAAGATAATTCTGTCGGAATTTTCGAGGGTCCTCCTTTCAAGTTCAAAACTACTGTTAACGTAAGTGTATCATCTATTCCTAGTTGACTGTTGTAAAAATCTTTCTATAAATACACATCATCTAATTGAATTGTGTACATTTTAATTTAAGGTTAGGTAACACTTATCAGGGATCTGTCTAGGTTCTTATGAGAGGTACCTATTTTGTGAAAATTTTGACATAATTTGTGATTTGTGTGAAAATTAAAAATTATACTAGAAAATCAACACAAAAATATGGTAAATTTTTATACATTTTTCTCCCTACATTCAAAAATAATTTTGTTATTGTAAAATTTTGGGCTTAAAATTGTATCCAAATTTAAAATTCCATAAAAATCATTGTCCTTTGTTAAATTTCAACTTGAATTCCAAAAACAAAAAAAACAACATGCATTTAACAGTACTTGCACTGAAAGCTATTTTCATAATAAGGAACATAACATTTCCCACCAGATCATATTGAAAAAGTTTCGCAAAGAAAAAAAAATGCTTCATAAAAAAATAAAAGTCTGTGAGAATAAATTTAGAACAATGTTCGAATTTTAACTTCCTGTAAAGTTTACAGAGGGAGCGCCGGGGAGTTTAATTTTTAAAAAAAAAAACTCTGCGAAAAACCACACTATCTAACCAAACATGTGCTACCTATTCGTATCTGCTTAATTGACCCAGTATTTGTTGTTTCTTAGGGGGATACAAAAACAACAAAGGCGGGGGAAAGAGAATCTAAGAACTTGCTTTTTTGAAAGTATTTTGTGAAATTACCGTTTTTCCTAAAGTGGAATTTGTGAAGGTAAAGGGTAGTAAATTTGCCCTGGACAAACCCCTGACTTTTGAACTAATTTTTAATTTAAAATTATTCTATTGCTTTTTGATGGATATATGTAAAGAAAGAAAAATGATTTCTGTGCTTAGAAAATTTATGAAGTTCTGATACTACTGAAATATACATGAAAAATAAATGAAGGTTTCACAGCAACTAATAAAAATTGTTGAACAATTGCAATTACCAGTATAAAAGACTTAGAAGTTATCTTGGAAGACCTAATTGGAAACAAAACTGCATTTGGGTTACTGCTGTCTTTCTTTTAATGGCATATTTTTATGCTTTGATAATTTTTACTGTTTGCAATTCAGTTATTTGGGTTATTATTTTTGTTTAAATGTTTGAGAGTTAAATTTCAATTGAAATATTTAAATTCTTTGGGTTTACTCATGCAGCTCAATTTATCTAGCAAACAAACTAATTATATATACAGTACAGAACCCGTTATCCGGAAATCAGAAAACCGGAAAACCAAAAAACCGGAACGAAATTCGATAAATTTTCTCGCAATTTTTTTTGATTTTTTAAATNCAAATTTATTAATCTTTTTGTTTAAACGCACATCTATTTACTGTATTTATTAAGATTTATATATATAAATATATATAAAAGTTCAAAATGTAGAGAAAACGTGGAAAAATTTCAGAACAATGGAAAAAGAAAAATTTTAATAAAAATCTGGAAAATAAAAGATATAATCTGGAAAATAAAGATATAATTTTTTAATAGATATAATCTATAATGAAAAGATATCTTTTATTTTACGGATTTTTATAATTTTTTTTTCCTTTTCGGATTTTTATTCTTATTTCCCCCCCCCCCTTCATTGTTCTGCAATTTTTTCTATGTTTTCTCTGCATTTAGAATTTATTTTATTTTATGAGTTCTGTTTACTTGCAGCTTATGCGCAGTAAATAAAACTTATTGTTTTTCTTAATTTTCTTAGTATTTTTTTTTCTTTTTGTATTTATTTATTATGCTATATATATGTGTATTTAATATGTATCGCTATCAGTAACCATATCCCCTGTTAGATTGTCTTTACCTCGTAATTTCAAATTAAGCTCATTCAAATGCACGGTTATATCTGCCAAAAAAAAAAGTGCAAAATCCACTCAGGATCATAAATTTCTGTTAGTTTTTTTTTTCTTCTCTGCAGAAAAAGAGTTTATTTCAGAGCAGAGAGTAAAATATCAATTTAAAACTTTTCCTCGACTCAACCATTCTATCTCTGTGTGGTAAATGACATCATTCAGAATTTAAATGAAAAAGTCCTACAATTGAATGAAATTGACACATTTGACCTCAGTTAAAATCAGTAGCAAAGTTTGCTAGTGCTAGAAGATACTATTTTATTTTATAATTGTCGTCAAACAGCCGACCAAATTTTCAGTTTACGGTTACCAATGTTCAACTAAGTATCCTTTTAATAGTGAACCCCCATGCAGAAGGCACTGAACTTCTGAATGAAGTATTGGGAGAAATTTTGCCTTCTTGGAGGACTTTTTGATGGTACTAACCCACATTTACGTTACAAGTATATTAGGTTAATAAATAAGTTCTTGTGTTTTTTTTTTTAAAGTTCTGTAGAACTTTATTTTTTGACATGAAATAACAATAATTGAATCAATAACGTACTCTCTGTTGTTTACTACTTCCTCCCAACGTTCAACAAGTTTATCGATGCCTCTTCCATAGAAATCACCCGGAAGCATCTCGAAAATTCGTCGAACCAAGCCGTAATTCGACTCCATTATTGAACAAAACATTTGAAAGCGCATGGCACAAATCTCTCTAGCAACTTCTGTGGCTTTGGCACCTCGATTAAACTCTAAAAGCAGGTGGTGTCAGAAATGCTTGTTTTTGTCAACTTGACACTCCAACTAAATGCTTTAAAAAGTAACAAAAATTTAAGGCAACAAAAACTGAAATGCACTGTTTTATAGAACAAACAATTCTCTTTAGAATTTTTTAAATTAAAAAAAGAGTGGGAACTTATTCATCAACCCAATATATATATATATTGGGTATATATATATATATATGGAAAAAAAAATTTTTTTTGGGGGGGGGAGGCTACAAAATGTTCGAATAAGCTACTTTCAGCGCTCCCATTGGCTACTTTTAAATCTTAGGTTTTGGCAACAGTGACTGCAGCAGTTTTTATCTCCAAGGATTTGTCCTCACAGCCTGGTTTTCTTAAATCAATCTTGGATGTAGGCACCCAAAAATTTCCAGTCGACTTCCCGAAAGATGATCCCCCCCCCCCTGTGGTAAATCCTTAGCGCCTGTTTGACTGCATGGTATTCTCGATCATTTTTCTCCGAACGTAGAAATCAAGGTCTTCCAATAAGAGTCTGTTTCTACCTTCAGTTACCTGGCCTTGTATTGATAATTTCTTCTGATATGCCTGAAAAGAAAGTGGGTTAATGCTTCAACATAGTTATACTTTTTTGTCAATAGGGTCAAAGTTATTTTGTATGTATTAATTAACAAGCAAAGAAAAAACTCATATTTTTTTTAAAAAAAATCTAATAATCCTTTCTAATTGTCTATATTTATTTTTTTGATTTAAATATTGAAGGGAAATTATATATTTTTTCTTTTATATAGGATCACACTAGGTTTGTTCAATCTGTTAGATATAATTCTAGTGGAGAACTCTTCGCAAGTGGTGGTTTTGATGGCAAGGTTCATAGTTTTATTTATTATTATTTTTTGAAGTTTTTGCTTTTATGTGTTTCAAAAAATTTAGTTATGATAATAATGAAATGTTTCATTGCAGATGTTCTTATATAATGCCAATACTTACGAAAAAGTTGGAGAATTCGCCTCTCCTGCGCATAAAGGCGGCATATATGCTGTAAGTTTTTCTTTTTTCTCCTTATTGTTGTGATATAGCTCTTTATTAATTTAAATGCTAGCTGTTATATTTTACTCTTAATTGACTTTAGTGTGATCTCCTGGATAAAGAATGAACGCAATGACATTTAATATTATTTTTTGTGGATATTGTGAACCAAAAGAACTTTTTTTCTGTCTTCATTTTTTGGTAATAATATACCGATTTTTAAAACCATCTATGTAGTGGAATGTAACAATAAACATCTTCTATCCCAGTTCCCTAAATTGTTTGTACGCAAGACGGAAGAAAAAACAAAAGTGAACACATTTTTTGTGACTACATATTGTTTTTTAATCAGTTTTGTATTTCCTTTTGTGGATCATTTATTTGAGTAATGTGAAAACAAAATGGAGCAGTTCGAAAAAATGAGTTAAAATTGTTTGCCGTACAGATATAGTGAACTGTATTATTAAAGCTATTTTATTACTCATTAAAATGAAGGTGTTTTCTTTAGCTTAATTAAATTGTTTTTCATTTAGAAAATAATTTTGATTTAATTAACATATTTCTAATTAAAAAATGTTATCTTTTTCCATGGATTGTCTTTGGAAAAGTCTCAGGGTGACCCTATCATTTTAAGAGCTAGCATTCATTTTATAAAGAGCAGTGTTTGGATAAAATACCGTATAAAATAGCTACATATTGAAATGTAAATAAATATAAAAATTTATTGATGTATAATCGCCTGGAATTATTTTCGTTTGCTTAATGAAAATATATTTAACAATACTTATCCATGATTTTTTTTTTTAGTCACTTGCTATTAGGTACATTTTGTGCAAAAATTACGTAAAACTTTAAGACATTTTTTATTCATTAAAAGCAATATATTCTATGCTCTAAACCTATTATTTTCTTCTCATCTATTCAAGATGATATATTAAAAAAATAACATTTTAAATGAAATATACTTTATAACAGTGAAATTTTTAATGGAAAAATCAGGGAAATTTGAAACCTGACTTGAGTGGCCACCCAAAATTACTAAATTATCTGCTGCAGGGTTGGGGTTTTGGACGTCCTAAACTGGTTTTGGACAGGACACGTACGTGGGTTTTACTGTCTTAAAGTGTCCAAAACCTTGAAATTTGGTAAAAGGTAAAAATTCTATAGCTGTAACCATTGTACACATAATTACATGTATCAATAAATATTTGATATTTTTCATACAATTTACTTTAACTTATTAAAGGAAAATAATATAATATAATAGGAAAAGGTTAATAATTTTTGAAGCTCCACAATTCATTGAACAACAAAAGTGAATACTTAATCCTTTAAATATAAATATGCTTTTAATACTGATAAATAATGTTTTTGCATGAGGATAAATAATGCAATATTAAAAAATAATAATTTTTAAAGAAAAATACTGAATTTGTTTAAAAATTAACCCTTTATTTTTCACAATATTTTTTAAAAAAAATTTTATAATTTCTATATCACAGGATGATAATCAAGGCATCTATTAAAAAAAATTGTTTTTAAATATAAATATATTAATTTAAATTGGAAATACAAAATAACTGAAAAATGTATTAACAGTTTTGAAGGGCAGCTTCAGTTACTGACACTGGTGATGTATCATTACTATGCTAAAAGAATTGAACATGAATGAAATAAAAGTATTCTTGAATAGTACTATAGATAAATAAACCTGTTTATGACGAACCAAGCACTTAGTCCCTAATAGCTTAACCTGTATGGCAAGGTCAAACTTCAGTTATGTACTGTTGAATGAGAGGACAAATTGAACTTGATTACTGATTAATCTTCCTTTGTTTAATGTTTAAATTGAAAAGTCAAGCAACATTAATAAAACATTATACTTTTAAAAGCAAATATTCTGTAGTAGATTTAATTATCAATATGTTATTAGTTCTATGTTTATTTTGCCTTTTAAATATTGTTCAGATAAAATTGTGACATAATTAGAGTAAAAGGGTTTTGGACGAAGGGGTTTTGGACAGGACAGTTTAAACCGTGGATTCATCCATTCTGTCTTAAACCTTGACAACCCTGATCTGCTGCAAAGCTTTCTGAAGTCTCTTCATCTGATGTTACCAACTACAACTAAAGAAAAAAAGGCTGTTTAATTAAAAATATCTTATTGTCTATTTTTGATCATGGTATTAGTCAGCTTTCTTAAACTACTGCAAAATTCAATCTTTTTAATTTTAAATAATCATTTATTTTGTAAAATATTATTTTTTGCCTTTTTCGACATCTTTATTTTACTGTCTAAATTTCAATTTTGAATCTATCAAGAAATATGACAAACATGCTATAAGAAACTGTTATGTCTAACACAAGTAAGTAAAATTTATTTTTTTAACAAGTATATAAAATATGGATATACCTAGTAGCTTCTAGAAAAGTCCTCCTTCCTTAATTATCAATTTGCTACCTTTTTGTAAAATCTTTATTCGACGACCAATCAAACTACAGCTTTGATGTATACGATTACATTTTCATGCTCCTTAACATTTCAGATTCAAATTTACTTGTTAATGCAGGGGTTGCCAAACTTTTTTGATCATCGACCCTTACATAATTTTTCGAAATATCCATCGACCCCCATAAAAGTAATTTTCTGTTAATTAAAATAAAACTCTATTAGATACTGTGTATGTACATTTATTTTACGATTTTGAACATTTATTTAAGTAATAGTACATAGTGTAACAATAGTTTTATGAAAAATATATTAATGTTGAAATATAAATACCTTAATATTTATGAAATAATAAGTAATTATAAGTAAGTAGAAATAATAAGTAAAGTAACTACGGATTTATTGCTTCTTAATCAATGACATGGGTGTGCCTGGTGTTTTTTTTTCTGCAAGGTTCGTTATATTGGGTTCAAAATTGGTCAATTTTAATCTTAAATCCCCTCGAAACTCCACATTTAATTTATTTCTGTTCTTAGTTAAGATTGAATTTACGTGACTGAAACTGGCTGCAACCATATAAGAACTTGGAAATGCTATCATAAATGGCTGAGCTATTTCGTAAAGTCTTACATATTTTTGCATTATATTTATATTTGTCCAAAATTTGCTTATTGTTAGATTTTCAAAAAGCGTCTTTGCTTCAAATCCTCATAATAATTCAGCAAGCTCATCTTGCAGGTTGATGTCCACGTTTTCAATTTAAGCAGAAAATGGCACAATAATCCAATCAGGGATGTCAATGTTTTCCAAATCAAAAAAACGCAGTTTAAAATCGTCACTCAATTTTTGAAGATTACCTGTATATATTTCCAAGTCTTCTTCTTTTATTTCTAATTGTCACATATCTGAAAAATACTGATAATCCTTCGACCCCCATTCGACTCCCTGGGTCAGATCGACCCCCGCTTATGTTAAATAGACCCCTGGGGGTCTATATAGACCACTTTGGCGACCTCTGTGTTTGTATAATTCTTTAAATATTTGAAAACTTTAATTACTGTTTTATTGTATTAGATAGTGCTATGTTAGCCACTATCGCTAGCAGCAACAAGAACACTGTTTTCAACTCTTTAAGGCACTCAACTGGCTTCAGCAAATTTTTTTTGGAAACAGCTTTAATTAAACCTTTCATTTTATTTTTGGTAAGCAGGTTCCTTAAATAATAAATCCAAAGTAAGCTTTAAATTTTTTTTAAATATTTCTTCAAAATAAGACTGATTTGAGCTTTAAGAGCTGCAAATTTTTAATGTTGCACTAAAACACTGATTTTTTTAAAAGAAGAATTCTGGTCATTCTTTTTTTGAAGCTTGAAAATAAGGAAAAATTTACACTTAGACCTCAGCTTTTAGTTCAGAACATAGCTAACACTATACAAAATCTACATACAAGGTTTCAAAATATATACTTTTTTAACTTTTTTTGTAATGTGTGTTGGCGTTCAAAATTTTTCTCAATCAATAATTTTCAGAAAATGCTTTTAATATACAAGAAAAATCTGAAATGTGACAATTCTTGCAACAAAAAAATTAATTTCTTAAACTGAAATATGTTTGCATTAAAACATGTAACATACGGAAATAAAAAAAAGATTAAAATATTAAAAGCATATCAAAAACATTAGTTTCATTTTTGGAAGTTAACTTCTGGTTTCATCTTTGGTAACTACTGGTCAACATTAGGGATGGAACAAATAGTGACAGAATACTTCTATCTATAAATAGATCTGAACATTATTAAAAAAATAATCAAAGCTTAGCTGTATTATTGGTAAAGAGAAATATTTTCATTAAAAATGTCTATGATAGTAAAGATAATTAAGAAATATTCAAGATAAATAAAAAAAACTGAATATTAAAGGAAAATTTATCAGCTATTAAAAAATAAAAACTAAGTTGTAAAATTAAACAGAAAGAGAAAGAAACAGTTTTAATTCTTAAAACAAAAATTTAATGCCAAGAATAATATTTTCTGGAAGAAAAAAAATATCAATATGTTCAAAGTGATGTCTCTCAGAAATGCTTCTAAAAAAACAGCACTATAGTAAAAACGCCTGTCAAATTAAGAAAATTTTATAAAAAAGCAATTGAGAAAAAATAAAAACGATCTTACTTTTTGAAAGAAATTTTAAAGCTAAACAGCTGTTTTCCAATTACCATATTTTCAAGAAAAAATGAAGTTTCAAAGTGTAATTAGAGGCCCTCTTCATTACCGCATTATAATAGAAATGTCTATAAAAACAAAAGTTTTTGAAAAAGCTTGAAGTCAAGGCAAAAATAGTGCTTAAATGGAAGATTTGACGCTAAAAATATAAATTTCACTTTTTCACATTGCCGAATTTTTTTAAAAAAATGACCGTAAAAGAAAAACGTTCATTAAAAATGTTCTTTAAAATGTGCATTAAAAAAACACTGATGAAAAGAAAGGTTAGTAAAAGAAGCAAAAGAGAAACAGAAGAAAAAATATTGTTCTTAGTTTTGAAATATAACTTGACTCCCCCTAAAAAACTTAGTTGAAAGATACTTTGCCGAATATTTGCCTAATTATTAGAGAGGTCTGGATAGAGTGATTACGGAATAGTGGCTGAATATCCGTTACGTTCTTAGTCAGCATATGAGAAAACAACTGTTACTTCCTTTCTGAAGATCGAAAAACAAAAAATTAAATGGTTTTAAAAGTAATAGACTAAAGTTCAATTATAAATAACAATAAAAAACCTATAATTTTCACCTAAATTACTGATTTTCACCCAGATGTGTACCTTAAAGTAGTGATCCTTAACCTTTGTATCATTGCGGACCGGTCGAAGTTTGATAATTTGAGTGTTTCTGGGGGAGGGACGTCAATTGTTTATAGTTTAGATCAGGGGTCTGCCCAGGGAAAATTTACTACCGTTTTGCAGTACCTTAACAAATTCAACTTGAGGGAAAACGGTACTTTCACGAAGTACTTTTAAAAAAGAAGTTCAAAGATCCCCTGTTTTTTTAATGCAAGCTTTTTATAAAAAATGATCTGACTAGGCTGTCCCTCCATAAAGTTTACGGGAAGTCGAAATTCGAAGTATTATTTTAAACATTTTCCTAAACTTATTCTAATAGACCTTATTTTCTTTTCTGAAATTTTTTTTTTCTCTATGAAACTTTTTTCTGTACAACCCAGTTAAAAATGCTCTCGTAATGAAGATAACTTTTAGTGCTAGTCCTTTTAAATGTATGTTTTTATTAAATTCATGTTGAAATTAAACTGTGGACAATGATTTTTATGGATTTTTGAATTTGATTCTAATTTTAAGCCAAAAATTTTATTATAGCAAAATTGTTTTTGAACATTTGGAAAAAATATATATGGAAATTTACCAGTCATAAATTATTTATTTTTTTTGTAGGGATAATTTTTGAAAATATTTTCTTATTTTACCATATTTTTGCATTGAATTTTTAATATAATTTTTAATTTTCACAAATTATGTCTAAATTTTCACAAAATACCAATTTTCACAAATTTCCAAATTTTCAGAGAGGGACTTAAAAAGAAACCTAGACAGGCCCCCGTAGATTTAATTTAAAGATATCTAAGCATTCCTTGAAAATTAAATACAATGACATGCATGATATTGATGCTATTTTAGGCAATGACTCTCAACTCTCAGTTAAGTTTCAAGGCCGGTTCGTGGTCCTGGTGTTGGATACCACTGTCTTAAAACTGTAGCTGTAGTTTTAATTATTTTTTAACAATGAAAGATTTCAGTATTAAATAGTATATTTTGAATGAAGTCTTTTAATATTTCTAATTTTATTTTTAGGTAGCTTGGAGTCCTGATGGCACAAAAATTCTTTCAGCTTCAGGAGATAAAACATGCAAGTTGTGGGATGCTTCTAATTTAGAAGTTATATCGTATGTTAGGCTGTTTAATATTTTAATTCATAACCGTTGTTGAATAGCCAATATTGTAGCCTTGTATTTATTGTATAATATAATTAATATAAATTTTATGCTTGTTTAATAATGAACCAAGCTTGTATTTTAATTTAATTATGTACAAAATCAGAGAAAAATAAAAAAATTTGTTTAAAAAAAAAAAATAAGCAAAACAATTTTAAAAAAAATAGTTTTTGATTGAAAAAGAGAACAGCAAATTAATTGAATGTACATGTCATTTTTGTATATTCAAAACTGCCTATATAGTTATAGCAACAAAATCATAAGTACATCATTATAATAAAGTTATTTATATATCAGTACAAACCCTTTAGCTTTTTGTTTAGTTAAGTTTGGATGTGTGCTTGCTGCAGTGCCGGATTACCCATTATGCCATGCCTGGGGCCCCCTTAAAATGGATTTTAAAAAATTGAGAAAAGAAATAAGACATTGAAGAAAAATTAGTAAAAAATTGGAAAAAACATGACTATCAAAGCTGAAGTTATGAGGGGGTACCAGCCTTGAATTGTCATAAAATGTAAAACTTTTTCTATCGAGAAAAGCCAAGACAAAAGTCAAAAAAATTGCTTTCTCTGTACCCCAAAAGTTTTGCCCAGGCCCAGAAAAATATGTCCAGTAAAGTACAGAAGCATAAAGCAGTAGAAAAAACGAAAAAGAGAAATATAGAAGGAAAGTAAGACAGAAAACTTACTAGTATAATACAAATTAAAATACGTTTAAAAAACAGTAGCGCATACAATCATTAGAATAAAACAAGACAAATACAGAAAGAATGTCTCATTTGTTTAATTCCTCTTAGTTTTTTGCTGTTAAGCGCATTTTTCCATTTGGATGTTTTAATCTTTTTTAATTTTGATTTCTTTTCATAATTAAGAAAACAATGATTTTTTTCAAAAAAAAATCAATTTCAAATATATATTAAAATTTGTTCAAAATGTTACAATTATTTTTTAGTACTAATTTAACAAAATAAAGTAAAATTTAATTTATTATTTATTTTTATTTTAAATATGCTTTCTTAAATGAAAAGATATATAAATATTTTTATATTTGAATAAATAAAAAATATACGAGAAAAGCAACTTAATCGATGGTCCCCAAAAATTTGAACGGCCTAGGGCCTCGCTTAATCCTGCCCTAGCTTGCTGTTGTCTTCTTGCAGGTAATGTGTTATGCTGCCTGAAAGTAATAAATTTTTATTCAGGTGAAAAAAGAATTGCAATTAATTGTCCGTAAATGTATAAATGTTGATGTTTAGGCATACTTATATAAATGAAAGGACCTACCTTAGAATTAGTGTTGAGAAATTCAAAAATATTGGGCTTTCAAATTTCTTTATTTGCTATATTGAGTTATTCATGTTATTTTGCACTGAAGAAAAATTGTCTTTTATTAACCGCTTCCCTTACCAAATTTATTGAAAATATCAACATTTTTTTTTGTTTTATAAATAAATACAAGGAACTAAAAACAAAACACAAGTTCTAAGTTGACATTATAATTTTTTTTTATGTGTGTGTTAAGAAACATTTAGTGTACCATCCATTTACTATCCCAAATTGTCTCGGGCAAATGAACAAAGTTAAATATGAGTCTTTGTAAAAGTACCCATCTTCATCATCTGAAAAATTATCTGCATTACTTTCACTCGTGAACGCCCCTTTTTTTTTTTACTCTCTTTTTTTTTCTATGTAAATTCATCCATCATTGTATATACAATTGTACAAAATACGTCTGCAGTCCCAAACAAACAGTGGCAAACTTCCAATCAAAGCAGATTAATATTATTGCCAAACAAAAAACGTGATAACACTTGGGATAATAAATGTTTGCAATACTCAGGGAAGCGGTTGAATATAGACATTATTATTTCACCATGAATTGTAAGATTATTACATTAGTGTGTCACAGAGAATGTTTGATTATTGTAAATAGGATTAAAAGAAATATGTTTTATTTTACAGAGAATTTGAAATGGGAAATGATGTACTTGATCAACAGGTCAGCTGCCTGTGGCAAGGTTCACACATACTATCTGTTTCTTTATCAGGATTTATTAATTATCTAGATCTAAATAATCCATTAAAACCATTGAGGATAATTAAGGTGAATATAAATTTTATGTTTCTATGAATGTTAGTTATATATATATATATATTTATATTAATTACTATTTTTATATATTGAACTTTTAGGGTCATAACAAATCTATTACAGCATTGACTGTAAATTGTGATAAAAAAAAGTTGTACACTGCAAGCCATGATAGTGCAGTCAATATCCTTTTTGTAATTTTTTTTAGTGTATTAATTATGCCCATAATGTTTAAAGTGGTAGCAAAATAATTAAAATTTTAAGCTGTTCAATTGTGACTAAACTTAATAGACCTATGGCGCAGAATCAGAGCAACAGGGCGACATTGTCGCAGAACGGTACGGAGTTCTCGCAGAAAAAATTTTCTTTTAAAAAGAAAAAAAATTTACTTTTCTTTTCTACTAAATTTACACTTAATATTTAGATCATGCTTTTAGATAATCACTTTTTTATGCTCTCAATTTACGACGATAGTATCGTAAATCGACGTGACGTTTCGATCGTATTTTCAGTAGTTACTGATATTTATTTTCAGGTGGCTTTTTAAATATCCCAATATATTTCAAGTAAGTAAGTGACATGTTTGGTCGCATATAGCTTGAGAAAATTTTGCCACAGGGCTTATTAGAGTCACAGTTCGTATTTGTTTAAATTTAATGTATATAGTGATGGTTTAAAACTGAAATTTGCTTCCATTTTAAATACTTAAAAAAGAATCTCCCCTTTAAAGTGGAAAAGCATTAAATATACATGCTAACTTTTCTTCTGACTTTTGTTGTGATTTTTTTTATTTTTTTTTTATGATTTCTTAGTTTATTCTGTGTGTTATAGTTTTTATTTAATTGTTATTTGATTTCAGAAAGTTAAATATTGAAGAATTTTTCTGTAGCTTAGTTCTGGAGGTCTGAACAAATGTAGTTTTATTATCATTTGAATTAGTTTTATACTAATTCCCCCCTTATAATTTTAAAATTTCCTCCCCTATCCTGTAAACATTTCTTTTTATTATTGTTTTTTTTTTTTTTTNTTTTTTTTTTTTTTTTTTTTTTTTTTTTTTTTTTTTTTTTTTTTTTTTGGATGAAAATATAAAATTCCGCTAATTATTAATAAAGTTCTTCTAATTATTGTTTAATAAATATTCTAACTTATTTTATAATAAAGTTCAAAATATGGCATACAAAAAAAAACTATTTAATATTAAACAGGTTTTTGTATATCATAATTAAAAATATTAAATGCTATTTAAAGTCATTGCTCTTCTCCTTATTTTGCAATGGAATTAGATACAGGGCATTTGCACATCTGGAAAGTCATGAGAAATCGTGGAAAGTCATGAATTTCGGTACTGAACAAAATTTTTCATGAAATATCATGATTTTTAACTATTTTTTTTTTTTTTAAATCATGGAAAGTCATGGATTTAGGTTGCCGAAAAATCTAATTTTAAAAATGGAATTTACCCCCCACCCGCAATTTCATAGTGTTCCGAATATTTGAATTTGTAACAAAATCCTCACTCACAGTCCTATTTTATTTAAATATAAAATGTTTTTATCATGTTCTTTAAAAAATTTTCAAAAAATGAAGGGAAAAACATCCTTTCTAGAGTGAATTATCCTATAAACTCCTTTGTTTTCAGAATTTTTATTATTATTTATTTTTTTAATTTTATCAATTTAAAATTCTAGCTGAAGCAAGCCAGTCATCGGTAAATTTTTTTATTCCGAAATGAGAACAAAAAAATCGGGAGTATTTCTTTTCTTTCCGATGAACGAGAAAAGTATCTTTAGACTATAATTCAGCTGGGAAAAAGATTTGCTTTTGTATTTTTTTAAAGCTATTTTACTGCTTCAACTCTTTCTTAAATTTAAAATCTTTAAATATGAAGATGCAGAGTATAACAGTTTTGGTTATACTTATTTCAATTAATGTTATTATAAAGCTTTTTTAAATGTATTGTTGGGTTTTTGTCAGAGAAAATAGTAACTTTGTTAAGTCATGAATTTGAAAATCTGAAATGTAGCAGATAACCATCATACGATTGGAAAAATCGATCTTACTAATTAAGTGTGAATTACAAAAACTATTTAATATCAGTTGTTAAAAAATATTCTAAGCTAGGTATTTCTTAACTTATTTTACTGTATTGGGATATGGAATCGGGTAACCACGATAGGATTGGAGGAATCGGCCATAATAATCAAGTTCAAAATATGACATATGATACTGATGTCATATACAGCATCAGTTTAGATGACACCATGAAGTTTATCAATGCAGAGGATAATCAATATTTGTAAGTACTCTTTCTTTTAAAGTTGGTTTTATATTTTTGAATCATATTTGCTCTTTTTCTTTCATCGATGTACAAACAGAAACTTTGGCATAGCATCAAATAGTGGAATTCACCGCATCAGGGATCGCTTTTCTTATTTATAACCAGTTACAAAAATTATGAAACAGGATGCGTAGCATTTTTGAAAAGTGCTTTTTTTTTCGCTTTATAAAAGCCCGTAAAGGTGCTTTTTTCTGGTTTTTTTTTAAAAAAAGTGCTTAATATTCTCTTTTCGAACATGAGATTTATTTCTTTACGATGTATTTCATCACGTATTATGCAAAAGCGGGGTTTTCGCATTCTTCTATTTGAGCATTTTCACAATTTATTCAACAACACTCCATTTCGGCGTACCGTTGGTTCGTAGCGTATGAAAGCGTCTATCATTTTATGTGTTTGATGAAATACTTGCGAGTCAGCATGTGCGTGTACGGAGCTGGGTTCGGTGAGATTCTTGCACTATCGTGTGCAATTCCTCTGCATTTTGCAAGATATTCTCAATTCCAGGCTTTATTTTCCACCCTCTGACATTGAACCTAAAAACCTTTCCATATTTTTATGGTTGGTAATATAATAAAAAAAAAGTTTTTTGTCAGCAAGTAAATATTTTAGCAGGATTGTGTAAAGTCTTTAAAAATTATTTAGAATTTTATTAATTTATATAGTGCTTAAAAATATTCTTTGAGTGCTTAAAAAGTACTTAAGAGGTGCTTTTTTTTGTTGAAAGATTTGGCTATGCACCCTGATGAAACTCGTGAGAAAGTTAAAGTTTTTTTTTAAACGCTTGAACGCTCTATCTCCTGAGCCCCCACAGCTCAACCTGATTATTTTATGTTATTATTATAATATTATAACCAATGTTGAACAGCCAACCCAATTTTATGGGTTTACGACTACTAATGTTCAACTCCATAGCCTTGTAATTTTGAACCCAATCCAGAAGANGAACTCCTGGATCAAGTATTGGGAAAAATTCGCCTTCGTGGAGGACTTTTTTGATGGAGCTAACCCACATTTGTGTTGCATGGAGAGGAAGACCACGAGAAACTCCCACGGTTAGCCTGATGGCAAGGGGAGTCTAACCCATGATCCGTCTACCGCTGAGGATATTGCGCGTCAGCACTGCGGTCAGTGCAAGCCGGATGCGGAATTCGATCGACTGGGATTCGAACCCGATTCGCCTCATTGGAAGGCAAACGCTCTATCCCCTCAGCCATCGTGGCTCAACCTGATTATTTTGTTATAAATCTAAAAATTGTGGAAGCTTTCGATCCATTATAAAGGAATCAAAATGTTTTTCTCTTCCTAGGCCTGAAACAATTAAATTTGATTCCCAACCTAGAGCAGTGGCGGTTAGTGAAGGCTATGTATTCGTAGCTTGTCTTAATGAGGTATTTTGTAATATTTTTTTCTTCTTCCAATATTTGTGCATTCATTTAACTAGAAGCTATGTTTATTGTTTTTGTTAGATTTCAGTTGTTCAAAACAGCAGAAAGATCAGTAGTTATCCAATAGACTTTGAGGGTTCTGCTATATCAAAGCATCCAACTGAATCTGATGTGGCCGTAGGAGGTGCTAGGGTATGTATTTCTTCTTACTTTTAATGTTATTTTCAAAACTGTAGTGTTAACTCTTTGTCATCGATAACTGTTTTTACATTGAGTAGGATTAAATTTCTCGTAACTTTCAAACGAAAAAATAGTTCCTCATAGAAAGTTACGCATTGTGTGTCTCTTTTAAGACGTTCCTAACAAGTATTAATACTGTTTTAAAAAGAAAAAACTCAAATAAAAGTTAATGCAGTCAAACCCAGCTGTAGTGAACCTTCGAGGGACCGAAATTTTAGTTCACTGCATCCGTTCCGCTTACAATTTTAACTAATGGTTCCAAACTCCCCCCTTTTGTTACACATTATTTAAATAAATAACCCATGAAACGAAATACAAAGATGACTCTAAAATAATAGGTAGTAACAAAAGTGTTAAGCTTTTATTTTTTATTCGTCTTCATCTTGCGTACAAAAGAAAAACCTAAGTAATCTTTAGCTGATGAGCAATCCTCCACATCAGATATGGAAACACTTCCCGACTCTCGGATAATTTTTCCACGATTTATGTTATCCCGCTTTTTAAACCTGTTTAACCCTCCATTCGAGCTCATAAAAGTAGTCTCCCAAAATCGCTCAGCAAATTCATCAGCTTTGGCTTGAAGCATTTGTCCAGTTACTGGATGATACTGACTGGATACAGACCCTGCCCTTGTCAGGCTCTGCATGTTCGATGCTTTTCGTGAAGCAATTTTATGTGTATTTCATAATAGAAATAAGAATTTTTTTCTTTTAATTTTAAATTTTGTTTTATCATAACTATTTTTAATATTAAAAGAATAAGCCTTATTTAAGCGTATAATTTATTATTTTCTAATATGTAATCAAATATTAGATTTAATCATACATTTGAAAATAAGAAATGATACATTTTAATAAGGAAACGAATAAGAGACAAATAAAAGTATGTTATATCTTGGCAAAAAGAGACAAATAAAGAAATTATAATTTTATTGGCACATTCATAAAATTTTTTATTTTAAAATAGGTTCGAGTTTTTTTCTGAATCATATTATATACATTTAAATTCCAAGTGGAAATAATCTAAACATGAACACTGCAATTATTTACAAATAAGCAACACATGTAATATTAAATCGGGACAAAATAATTTATCAAAGTATTTCGATCCTTAAGATTGTAAAACTTTAAAATAGTTTTCATTATTTTCTAAAAGAAAACTTTATTTTTTATTTTTTGTTAATTATAAAAAGATTTTCTAACATTAATTTATTGACGACAATCTTTCTATAGGATTTGTTAAAAATATATTCCAAAATAGAGATTACCCTAGAAAATTATTGGTATAATATTCTGGTGCAAAAATTGTTCAATAATTAAAAAAATTATGTACTGTAAAAGACAAGAAAATATTGAATATTTTTTATGAACTTCATTTGAAATTTTCTAAAAGTTTTTGTTAAATGATAATTTTTATAAAGAAAATATTATTGTAGAAAGAATATAAAAGCATTTAATAAAATCATTTTCCTGTTACTTAATAAGATACATTTGAATGAATATGCATACATGTGTATAAACTTATGTTATTATTTTGAAGCTTGTTTATCTAAACTCTTCCAGACTTATGAGATAAACATAAAAATGGGAATAAAATGAGAATAGCTTATTTAATCTGGAGTAAACTCAAAATTTATTCATACCACATGAACAAGAGTTTCATTGATATTCATTTAAATTATAAGGTACAAAAATTGAAATTAACAATGAATTAAATTCCTTTTTTATTAATATGATTTAATGCATCGGAGTTTTTTTGCTTTCAAGTATGAATACTTCTGAAATTTTACTCATATGATTGTAAGCTATCCATAGAAGAATAAATAAGTTTCAAGTGCCAATCAACATTGTTATTAATTTTTCTTTCTTTTAAAAATATAACTAAAACTTTTTTTACTAGTTTTTTAAATAATAAAAAATTTAACTCTTAAATGACATCTGATATTTGTTTATATGTTTAAACAAGACAAATGATGTTTGAATTTGTTTTATTTCACGTCTAAAAGTTTTGCAAAAGTACAAATGCTTTGCTAGTTTTATGTTCTAATATTCATTTACAATAAACAATGCCTAAAACATTGCAATTCTTAAACACAACTTCTTTTATTATGTCATTAAAAAGTCTGCAAAAACTAACATTAAAATATAAAAAATAAATAAAAAATACTCGACTATTAACAGTTATTTCATAACTGTCTCGTTTAATAGAATTAATTCATTTTCGTTTCATTTCCTCACTTTTCGGAAGCTTAAACTTATACTTTAGGCCCATTTTTGTAGTTCCCTTTGCATTTTGGAGTTACACATGTATATGGCATTGTTGAAAGCTTTAAAATAATGCTATATATATTTTTGATAATGGTTTATAATGACATATCCGACGGACAAACAGGACTGTTGTTCAATGAATGATAAATATTTGAAATTGGCGGTTTATCAGCTCTACACCACTGCTTGTGACGTCACTAAAAGACCTTGGTGATCTCAACAGCCTTATTTCTCAGTGGTTGAGGATTATGACAGCATCTGAAGATAGCTTGATTTTTTTTTTTTTTTTGTTTTTTATGGTGAAAAAATTGTGAACTAGTAAAAATTAAAGATGAAAAAGATAATAGGTTTTTTCATCTTCATTTATGAAAAGTGGCAAAGAATTTTCCTTTTTCTTAAAATTTAATATCGATAACACTCGCTTTTCTGTTTTATTTGTCTGCAAAGTACCTGTACCGGTATAGTAATGAATTTCATTTGAAGAAACCTAAAAAAAAGCACAAATGGGAAAAATATTGCAATTTTATTAATTTTTTTCCTTTAAAATGAGAAGATTTTATTTTAATATCATCTGCAAGTTCATTCATTCTTTCTGATTTCTTTTTTGGGTATCTGTTTTTTCTTTTTCTTTTTTGGCTACGCTAAAGTATGGTTGTATAAAATTAAATTAAACAACAACAAAGTCTTTGTGTATAATTTTATTATATTTAGATTTTGCGAATTTTTAAATTCAATATATATGTATATATATTATTAAGCTTAATTTTTACAATAATAATCTTTGCCTGACCCCCGTGGCAGATTTACCGTTATTTATTTATTGTTTTTTTTTTTTCAGAAATTTACACATAATATTTGAATTATACATTTAGATAATAACTTTTTGGCGGACTCGATATGTGCCGATAGTATGGTAAATCGACGTGATGTTTCGATTGCATATTCGGCAGTTATTGATATTGATTTTCACGTGGATTTTAAATACCCAGATATATTTCAAGCAATATGGAAAATTGGAATGGTGCATTTGAGTATTTACTTTTTAAGGCAATAATTCTATCAAATTTTTGGCAGTTATTGCTATTGACTTCTCCATAGTTTTTAAATCTGTTAGTTTTTATACGATATTATTTATTACAACAGCCGAACTCAAAACAAAACACGCATTCAAGGAATCTGATTTAAATGATTTCGTAGTCTATCTTTTTTTTCGGGAATTACTACTATGGATATCATGATTTTTAATTATATATTTTATTGCAATGATTATTTACAGAATTCGAAGAAGAAAATATTTTGTGCATCAACCAACAAAATGCGATAATATCACCCATATTACTAGAATAAAAAATTATTACATGCTCAATTAAAAGAAATTATGAATATTATTTTGTAAACATGGCACTTTTGTTATATTCAATGAGTAACATATATGTTTGCTATTATTATAAATATCTTGAAGAAAGATATTAGTGCTCGAGAGTCCCATAAAGCCCTAAAAAAGTCCTGCCACAGGGATATATAGAATAAGCTTAGAACATAGTTTAAGCGTAATTCTTATTCTAATAATCTTTGCCTGACTGTGTTAAAACCGCACACAAATTTGATTTTTTTTCCTTTTGTTAAGGATAGTGCTGCAGATTGACTCTTAACCGGGTATGTTTGTAATATAAAATGCCTCTTAGTGAGTCCTTTTATATTAAGTTGTAGTTTAAAATACCTAACTCTTACTAACTGCAAACCACAGATCATCTTTTTTGAAGAACGAATTATCAAAAAATAACTTTACTTTCTGAACATTTTGTTGGAGTTGACATACAAATAGCTTACTCTGTTTTTCATCTGCATCCTAATTATAGGATGCTTGTCTGCAACTTGTTTTATGCGATTTCTGATGAATGGAAAACAGTTAGGTCAAATGCCGAGTCCGGATTTTATCCACTTACCCGGTTTTGTCTAAGTTTTTTTTTTCTACGAGTTAGTTTCGTAAGTATATTAAAGAACAAACAGAAACTCTCCAATATATATGGGCATTAGGTATATTTTAAATAATTTAAAGGCATAATTGTTGAAGTGTTTTATGACAAAAATTTCAAATGCTTTAAAATAAGATTAAAAAAAGAGAAAATTATCAATTTTTTAATTAATTTCATCTTTCTTTTTCTTGTAAATTGAAAATTCTAGATGCAAATTGTTCAAAATTTTGGGACTTTCGAAATACTCTATGGTGTCATTTAAAACTTTGCAGCTGGTGGACAATTTTATAACACAAAGTTGGAACTTTAAAAACATCTTACATAGCTGCCGACCCTACTGGATTTTCCAGTAGGCTACTGAATTTTCCCAGTTTAATAAAAATTCTCCAGGCTTTTGTACATTTTAGAAAATTCTCTTAACATTGATTAAGTTTCCTCAAAAAAATCCCTTTTGAGATTATCGCTTGCTTGAATATTTTAACAAGTGTCACTAATACATAATAAAACGAGCCTCATTTACAAAATTCAACTAACAATCTTTGAATTAAATTCCTATTACTATTCAAAATTAGTAGTAAACATAATACATAACATTTCAAGATCATTTAATGTGAAATAATAACTGAAAAATATTGTAGTTTTTCTATTTTGATGACTATAAAATTCCTTACATGTAAAATATTTAGTGCAACAATTATCATTCTATTATTTTGTAAAATCTACTGAATTTTTTCCAATTTATGTTGGCAATTATGATTTTTGAAAAATGACTTGGTGAAGTAAAATAATTAATATGAAGATGTATTCATTAGGATAATAAAGTTCATATTTTTCTATCTACTCTGAATGGAAGTCCTACTTTCAGTCCTAAAACGACCTTACAGCACACAGGGGCTATAACAGATGTCAAATATTCACCCAATGGAAAATATCTAGCGGCCAGTGATGCTAATCGAAAAGTAGTCCTCTACAATGCTTTGACCTATGAGGTGAGTATCATTTTTCTGAAATTTTTTATTCCATTTTGAGGAACAAATAGAAACAAAAGTTCTCCTTATGTTAATGTTCCACTATTTACAACTTGTAATAACACAGGCGACTAAAATGCAACCATTTGCAACTGTTTTTGGCATGAGGCGTCTATGGCAACTTTTTTTGCCTGAAAGGGCTAAAAAAGCCACTATTTTCAGAAAAAGGAGACTATTGGGAGACTTTTCTGTACTCCTAGCGCTTTTTTTTATTATTATTATTTTATTTTTAAAAGCATAAATTGGGTGGAAAATCTGCACCAAACAAGATAGTTTCTGAACACACTGAACTTTTTTTTCTTAAAAAATAAAAAATGTTAAAAATTTTGAATTGCAAATTTGAGTGTTCACTTTTTAATTCGTTCAATCTGCACAGACTCCATTGTAAGTCTATTTCATTTCTCGATCGCCTTTTCAGTGATTATTGCTACAAAATTCAGCATGATCTTTAAAAAAAAAAATTTTCAAAAAAATTTAATGCAATATTACGATGTGTGAATTTCGAATTTGAGTAATCACTTTTCATATATATCTATACAAACATTTATGTTTATATAAAAATTATCATATTTGCCACCAACTTGACTGACTGGATCATAGTAAATGACATTTAAGTCATTAACAAAATTTGGTCATATCTTTGATGAATTTTTGTTCTTATTTTGGCAACTATTTTCCTAGTTTTTGGCTACTATTTTCATGTTTTAGGCTACTAAAAGCAACTATTTTGTTCATTTTTTCTGTGGCAACTCTGTAATAAGCATATAACTCTTGGTTGCACTCACTCCAATTTTTGAAGATTTGAGGAGTTAAATATTTGATTAAAAAATTAAAATTTTGTTATATGTAACTTCCAGTTTTTAGATTTTTAAAAGTATTTAAACCAATGAAAGTTGTTGAAAATGAGATTAAGTGCATATGACTCCAAAAATACTTATGTTCTCAAAAATTATTAGTAATTACTGGTAATTAAATTACTGTAATTAGAATTTTTAAACTTTTTACTACTTAGAAACTGTCTGCATGAAATAATTGTTTTGTTTTTAGCCAATAATTGTTTAGCCTTTTCTTTAACTGCTTCCAATAATTTGTCCATACGTTTCGTTTTAACACGTTTTTATTCGGCCGAAAGCAAAACAAAAAATAATAATCTGCTATGATTGGAAGTTTGCCAATATTTGTTAAGGAGTTTTGCTATTTGTGGGACTGCAGCCGTGTTTTGTACGATGGTTGATGAATTCACATAGAAAAAAAAAGAGTAAAAAAAGGGCATTCACGAGTAATGCAGATGATGTTTCAGATTATGAACATATACAAAGACTAATATTTAACTTTTTTCACTTGCCCGAGATAATTTGGGATGGTAAACTAACTGATGGTAAATTATATATTTTTACGCTTAAAACAGGGTCCTTAAAAACTGCTTAATTTTTATTTTGGAAAATAAGGGCCCTTAAAGTACTTAATTTTGGTACAAGGTTTTTAAAAGTCCTGAATTTTTCAGCATCACAATAGTTGATAGGAACAATTTTTCGGTTCAATTTTTTAAAACAAAATGTCATTCTTTTATTGTTTAGATCATTCATCGAGGGTAAAGCGCATTTCAGAGAGACAAAAATAAATGGGGAGGACTGGTTCTTTCATTAATATATTCAGCTTTGTGCCTAGAATGAGGAGAGGGAAGCCATCTAAAAGAAAAGAATAGTGTGTACAATACTGGGATACATGGAGAAAAAAATAGTGCTTTTTTTTAGGGGGCAGTTTTAAGATACCCAAGACCCACACGAACCTTCAAAATTGACAGAATTCAAGAAATTCAGTTCTACTGGTAACGCATCTCCTTATAGGAGTTGAGTAAAACACTAAGAAATGAAGTATCAAAAAAAATTTTTGAACTAAATTCCATAATGACAACTATTTATTAAAATCTTGACGAATTAAATAAATTTGTATTATATTTCAATGTGTAATAAGTAAATGTAAATTTAAAGAAAGCAATAAAAAATTTTAAATTCGTGATTGTAATAAAAATTAAACAGATTTGTAAGAAACAGGGTTCGAAAAATCCCAACCCTGGGTTTTTCATAAAAAACCTGGGGTTTGCTGGGTTTTTGATGAAAGTTTTAGATTGTTACGCTATTATTTTTATGTCTCTAGGATAAGCAGATAGTTACATAAAAATGCAAATCTTCTCAACTAAAGGATCCTTAGATTTTAATAATCATTTTATTCAGTGAACATTGCAATTTAATATACTGTTTTTAATTTTTATTCAATTTTTGATTGCTTTAAAATTAGTTCATGTTTTTCGCCAGAATGTTTAGTAACATGTATAAAATTTCTAATAACAAGTTTGGCTGGACATAATTTAGTGTAAAGTTCATCATAAAAGTAAATATAACACATTTGCTGGTCTAGAAGTGAAATATAGAAACTTGTTGAATTAATTTTCAAAATTTTTTATTTACTCTTTTTTTTAGAAAAATACACGGAAAAAATTTCAAATCTTAATTTCTGCACTTAATTTTACAATTCAATTTCAATGAAATCATTAAAAATGGAAAACTGATTAGTTTCATAAATGCGTTAACTTTAACATTCTGAAAATATTTTTTAAAAAAAAGACCCGGATTTGCAAAAATTCTCTGATACTTCTTTGGCGAGCCCTGATAATTATTACAATTATATATCAGTACTTACATTATAATAAAATTGTTTTTTTGCTCATTGATTTTTTTTTAAGAAAGGTAAGTAATTGGCACTGACACTGGAGGTATATTCGATGATAAACAATCAGACTATTTTTAAATTCCTTCATTCCTCGATAAAGTACTTAATTTTTTCATTATGTTTTGTTTCAGTTCCTTGTATTTATTAATAAAATAAAAATTTTTTTGATTTTTTGCTTATTTTTTCAAAAAAAAAAGAAATGGTAATGGAAGCAGTTAAATGTTTGTAACATAAATGAATCTAATCTTTTCGAGATTCGTGTTTTGTTTATTCCTCTTAAAATAATCACGCAATGATTCAGTGAAGCATTGCGAAATCAACATGTATGCACAGTAGTATATACTTAAGTAAAACTTCGCAAATATAAAAAAATGAAGTTTGTTTCTAATCCTTGCATCTGTGACTCTCAAAGGTGTGCAGCGTAAATTCCTTTTCCAAATTTTTTTAGCTTTTTTTGAAATTTTGTGTTATTATGCATGAACAAAGTTAACTGTTAACCGATCTCGTAGCCACAACAAAAATACGAGACTCAATTTTGTTCGAAACAAATACTGGTTTTAAAGTGTACTTGTTCTTCTACAAGCAAGTCTTGTTACATAATGGTTGAACTTCTTTCCTGACTTAAAATATTATACTTCAATGTTTACAACAATGTTCTTATTTCACTAATGCCTTAAATTTAATCTTTCTTTTTTTAAAGTTCAAAAAAGTAACAGGAACAGTATGGGTTTATGAAACAAATAACACTGGGAAAACCATACCTTGAGAATCACTGATTTTAATCTATTCATTACTTAGACGAAGAATAGCATTTTCAGTTGTATTTGAAAAAGAATTATTTGTGACTTATGAAAATCTTTTTTAAAGCTTGCTCATACACAAGATTGGTGTTTCCACACTGCGAGAATCAACGCTTTGTCATGGGCACCCAATTCATTATTTTTGGCTACGGGTAGTCTGGATACAAATATAATTATATGGTCTGTAGAAGCACCTACAAAACACACAAGTATCAAAAGTAAGTCATTAATTCTAGTTTATGTATTATTCATTTGAACTTATTTTCTGCACCACTATACATACATGATTCGAAAGTTTATATGCCACGCCATTTGTTCTAGCTCCTTCCTGACGAGGCTTTCCAAAAGTTGGCGAAATGATTTTTGATTGCCTACCACTCTCTAAAATATTTTTCGAAAAGCGTAGTTGTAGGCTGGCCTTCGGATTACAAATTACGTAATGAAGTTATTTTTGCCTTTCTAGATTTTTTTTTCCGAGACCAAATGATCTATGAATCCAAAATGTCCAAATGATCTATGTTCTTAAGTAAATGATCTATGAATAAAGCTGTATTATAACATAAAAATGGGCCTACTGGAGTTCTGTGAACGAGGAAATTCTACGGTGTCGAAACCCCAACTGTTTAAATCTCTCAAATTTTTGGTTTTTTTGTAATTTCTGTTAAATGTTTGATAACAGGATTGCTTTTTTTTATTAAAGGGGAGGAGGAAACAAAATAAGGTTTTTGGGGATGCATCAACTGGCTACTTTCGAGCGAAATATAATGAGACCTATGCTATTGAGCACATGGCAGTTTCAAAATTGGCCAGTTATAACTAAGAAATCTATCCTTGGGTCCTTGTTTATAGAACTGAAATCAGAGTTAGGTTTAAACCAAATATTTTTTTTTTTTATAAAAACCAAACCTGATTTTTTTTAAAAGTATTTTGTATAATTAAATTTTTTGTTATAATTTTTTTCAGTTAGTAACAAAATAAAAAAGATTTATAATTTTGAGTTTAATTGCTAATGGGGAATCTTTATTATTTCAAAGTGAACATAAATCTGCAACTTCCCACAAAAATATTTATGTTAAACTAGGTTTGCATTTCATCCAGAAGAAACCTATTTCTTCCAGGAGAATGGAGGAAACAAAAAATGACCCGTGGATGAAATATTTTAAGAATAAATTTAATTTAAGGAAATTAAATTTATTATAGTAACCAAAAGTTTCTCCCGTTTACTTTTTTTTTTAAAAAAAATATTCGTTTATTTATTAATTAATTTTATGGAGGATTTTGAAATCTATATCCAGGGGTGATTGTATTCCAGGTTCAACAGATGAATAAAACCGGAATTCCGGGGTGATTGTATTCCAGGTTTTTTTCTAATCCCTCTAGGTCTCTATATTTTTCGTATCATCCATCTCAAGACCTATTCAAACGAAATTTTTGCCGCAATCAAAAATTTAAAGTAAGAATTAAACTCTACAATTTAAAATTTAAATTTAGAAACCTTCGCCAAATAGCGTTGCCCTAACGTTTTCATAAACATGACGCTTCTGCAATTTTGAAATTTTTTTTTTTTTTTTTTGGTTTGTCAGATTTTTAATATTTGAAACTATATTGGAATCTGCAAATATCGCAATTTATATTCAAGCGATTTTAATATCAATCATTGATTTTCATATTTACCTAGTTTAAAAGTTACTAGTTGTGAATCATATTTACGTGATTTAGAAATGTAATATTGCAATTTGTATTTACACATTTTTGAAATTGATATCACGATTCATTTTCACGCTGGTTTAAAATCCAATGTTGTTATTCGTATTCAAGGAATCTAAAAATCATGTATCTCAGTTCGTATTTACGCGACTCAGAAATTCAATATTGCGATTTGTATATTTGCGTTAAGTCCAATATCGCGATTCATATTCACGAGATTTTGTATTTTCGCCTTCTTAAAATCCAATATTGTGATTATTGTAAGAAATAAATTGTTTTCTTAAATTAATTACTATATAAAGTGATTGGTAATTCTATTATGAATTTTAGTTAAAAATAAATATTTAATGTAAATAGTATAAAAAGTGAAATCTTGTTAATCAAGGTTTTGCACTTAAAATTTTCAGGGTTTTTCTCGTTGTAACACAATCACCCCTCATCATTTAAATATTCATACATACCATTATTTTGAAGTGCTTAAAAGGTGCTTATTTTTTGTTGAAATATTTGGCTAATGATACAGTAAGTAGCTCTAAAATGAATACATACTATTATTTAAACTACATTATAGTTTTGCACTGTTTTAAGATATATATTTCTTTTTAAAAAAGTTTCTTCCGTCAGGAGAAGCCTATTTCTTTTGAGCCAATTTTTTCCTACTATTTGCCATTCCTGATTGTTAAATAATGCTAATTTTTAATGGTTGTTTAAATAATGCAACCAAATTTTTAAAAAATAAGTCATAATGCCTGTTAAAAATGCTTATGCATTTTCTGTAATTTTTTAAATGATATAATGTTACGATTAAACGTTTATTTTTATCTACTGTAATACATTATGTATACTGCTAAATAAAGGCATTTTTGTAAATTATTACATTTTGCAAATCATTACATTTTTATATATGCTAACTATCAAGTAGGAAAATTAAATTTTACATACATGCATACACATTTAGATATTCATTGCTTATCTGCTTGCATTATTAATAACTAAGCATATTATATAAATAAGCATATTCAAAATATTGTACTTTTTTATTCACATATTTATGAACATATTTACACACGGGCTACGGATTCGCTAAGTTCACATATTTATGAACAAAAGTGAATTTTCTTTTTTGGTATTCTTAATAAAAGTATTAATGCATATTTAAATACTTTTTAATGGTTTAATTATGGGCTTAACATGTTATTTAACATTTTGTTTTAAATAAACGAAGAAAACCTGATTTGAAGAACAACAAAAAACATGTTTTAAACCCCTCCTCTCCCCCCAAAAAAGCTGGTTTTAATCAAAAGACTTTTTTTTCTTCCAATTCTGGCTGACACCATTGTTTGCTCATGTTTAGGATATTATTTGTTATTTATTCAACTCACACTTAAATGTTGTTAAAATTAACGAGGCTCAAAAATCATACTCTGATGCAAAGTAATTTTTTTTAACTTTTTATTTGCAGAAGCACATCCTCAAAGTCAAATTACACGTCTCGCATTTCTAGAAAACACAGTTTTAGTGTCAACTGGACAAGATGGTAATGTTAAAATATGGGACATTGTTTATTAAGTTTGATGTGTGATTAATGATAGCGATTGTTTTTTCATAACGCTTTTTACAAATCTCCTCTCCAAGAACAAATGCTTTCATTTTTTTTTTAAAGAACACTATAATTTGTGATAAAGTTGGATAGATTTTGTGAATAAAATATAAAAAAATTTGACTGCATATTTGAATAAGCAAAAGTTCAGTCTGGAGCTTCATTAACTTATACGATTTTAATATCTTTTTGTTTATGAATACTGTCGGTGTAGTTCTTACTTGATTGCTTGTTTTTAGTCAGTAATTGTGCTTTTGTTTGATATTTCACGGTGTGTTCCTTTTGATATGATTTTTTTAGCATACTTTTTTTTGTTCTTATTTTTTTTTTCTTACGTTAATATTTGTTGTCATCTATTATTGCTCTGTTAATCTTTTAGTTGAACCCAGTAGCTTTTACCAAAGATGTTAAAAGAAAAATGCAAACTAACACTCTTTTATATTAATCAATTTAAATAAGAAAGATAAATGAACTGATTTTATAAGAGAAGAAAAAGATTCTGCACTCATGTGCCAAAATGTATAAATTTGAAACCTATTGATTGTGTGAATGTGAGATTCCAAAAGCCTGTCTTTTTTTACAACGTATATAATTACAGTAAATCTCAGTTTCGATTCTATACTATGTACCATTATTAGTAATGAAAATGTGTTTGTTTATTGACTGTTCTATGCATAGAAAGTCATGATTATCCTTTCAAGGGAAAAACCTCATTCTTCATACAACAGGGTGCGTAGCGCTTTTAAAAAGTGCTTAAAGGTGCTTATTTTCGTTTTTTAAAAGCCCTTAAAGGTGCTTTTTTCATTGAGTGTTTTTAAAAAATGCTTAATTTTCCTTTTTTCAAAATGAAATTTTTCCTTTACCGTGTAGATTTTAGCTTCGAATTATGCAAAAACACAGTTCACATTGTAATGTTCAACGTTTTCACAATTAATTCAACCCCAATTATGGTATTGTCAGTCCACAACGTATGAACATGCCATTTGTTTTACATGATTCAAAATTTCATGATTTTTGACAACTGTCAAAAACAATGCCAAAAGTTTTTTTTTATTTACATGACGGTTAAAACAAGATAAAACAGTTAATTGCTAGAAACTTACCAACCCTGCCTAATTATTATATTTTTTTAAAGTGCTTGAAAGGTGCTTATTTTTTGTTGAATAATTTGGCTACGCACCCTGTACAATCCCGTACATCTGGAATTACATTGAGGAGAAATGGAAAAATCTAAATTTCTAAAATATCAGGAAATTTCTAAATGCAAAAATCAACCTAAACCGAAGTTGTATAGAAAAACTGCCATTGGGTTAATATCACTTCATACAAGAAATATTTTTAAATCTTCAGTTTAATTTTTACTTTTGTTTTTTCATTTCAAATGATTTTTGTAGGCTAGAAGGAGAAAAAAAATATTTTTTTAAGGATCCTCTGACATTTCTTTTTAATAGTGTAAGTGAAGATTAAAATTTTTGTGCCAAAAACTTTTCATTAAGTAGGACAATTATCCTCATGGTTATTTCTGACTCATTTTGTCCTCTTTATGTAAATGTTTCAGAAACTCATTTCTTTAAGAAAACTAAGAATCTTCGCAATTTTCTAAGAAAAATAAATATATCATGATGAACTGGAATTATTGTATTGTAGAATTTTTATATGCAAGAAACAAAAGCAATCTTCTATTTCTATTAATTTTGAGAAATTTTCATTTATTTTTTTTTACAAAAATTTGTTAGAGTCGCATTTTATTTATCTGAAACCTAAAGTGAAATAGGGCGTTGTAAGAATTTTAAGCAATAGTGAAAATTTTTTTAATTAAATAATGTTTATTATGTTTTTTTTTGTATAGTACAATTCTTTGATTTACTTTTTTTTAAATACATCTTTCATCAAAATATATTATTTATTTATAAATGCTTCCATTTTTATAAATGTTACAAAATATTGACAATTTATGTGTGTATAAAATCAAAATATTTAATTAAAAATTGAAAAAAAATTTCTTTTTGAATGTGTATTATCCAAAGTGCTATTATTTTAAAAAATATTGCATTGAATAATATTTGTATGTAGAAGTAAAAGTGGTTTTTGTTTTCTGTAAATTTTTTTAGCAAGCAAATACTAAGTAATTTTTTTGTGAATCAACATTGTTGTGGAAATTTTTTTATTTGAATAACACATGAATTATTTATGTTATCCATCTGAGCTTTTTTATTTTGAAGGAAGGGGGGAACTGATTATCTTTCTATTTTATTTACATTTTTGGAGTATTGGTGAAAATCTTATTAATCTGAAGTTGCAATATAATGAGAAAAAAACTGGACAATTGGACAGTTTTTGATAAAACTCTTTGATAAATCCCTATTTTTGTATGTATGTGGATAAAAAAAAAATCTTGTTTATCTTTTTTGTGGAAAAATTTATTTAAACTGTGGAAATCTGGGCTTATGGAGCCTTGTTTGAAAATAAATGTTTACAAATTTACTGTGTCTGTCTATATCATTCTACAAGTTGATTATTTTTTACTTAATAATTATGTTTTAAAGTACAATTACAAAACTTATATTATCCCTGTTTAATTGGACCCTGATGGGATGAGAGACTGCATGTTTGAGACCCTGGAAAAGAGTATCCTAGTAGTTGGGAGGCCGTGCTTCAGCTAAACAGGAGGTTCATATTGACCTGTATGCATCAACCAGCTAGTCACGAATAATATCATCTGTTTTGTCTTGGTTACCTACTCGGGGGATGCGATTTTTCCGCTTTTTGTCTCTCGAATTTCAGCCTTTTTATCAAAAACTCCGATTCTCTGAAAGTTTTTTTTTATAAGTATACCGCTTTTTTTGAAAATTCAGCCGGTTAAATAAAATAATTATGTTTCTTTAAGATTTTCAAAGATAAACAAGAAAATTCAAACTACGCAGCTGCATTTTTTCTTATTTTAGCCATTTTATGCGCAGAAAATAAGATTTTCAGCATATTTACTTGCCCGCCGGCTAACTCATATTTTCGTAACTCAGAGGTCGCTGCTTTTCTTGTCGAGTCTTTATCACGAGATTTTAATGTGAAACATCTTTTTTTTGTATGAACTTGATTTAAAGGTTGCGATTCTTATTCACGCAATTTAACCTTTTGTTTACGGCTGGTACAACATGTCGACCACATGTGAAGGTACAACAAGGAACCCTGTAAGGAAAGGGTTAAGTATTGTACATTGCGATTCTTATTGACGAGGTTTAAAAATCCAATATCGCGATTTGTTTTTACATGTTTTTGAAATCCTATGTATCGTATTCACGCGAATTTGAAATCCAATATCGTGATTCGTTTATGCGGTTGTATTATCAAACATCGATTTTTATATTTATATATGATTTAAAAATAATTATTTCAAAATTATGCATCGTGATTCGTATTTACACGATCTAAAAATTACGCATCATGATTTGTATTTTTGAAATAGTTTCATATTCATGTGATTTAAAATCAATAGTTTCATATTCATGTGATTACAATACTTGTTAACACTATTTTAAATGATTCATCCTAGATTGTCGCAGAATATCATTGTTTGTCAACAAAGCAAATAAGAAAACGAAATTTCTATAAACAATAAATTTATTAAAAAAAAAAAACACATTAAATTGTTAGACAAACAGAGTGAATACAAAACAATGCTTCATGATGATCCATGCCAGAACAGCAAATAAAAAGGAACTGCAGACCCAGAGTTGGCCATCGATTACAACTGTAATTGATTACAGCTATGTAATCAAAATTTTTTGATTACATCAGAATTGAGCGAAAATGTAATCGATTATATTTTTCAATTACAGTAATTAATTGCTTGTAATGATTACAACTGTAATCGTGATTACAATACTCGATTACTTGTAATCATGATTACAAACATTCATAATTTCGATTACACCCGTAATCGTGATTACATAACCAATTACTTGAATCGTGATTACAAGTAATCATAATATATGATTACAATTTGATTGCATGTAATTATGATTACATGTAATCTAAATACACGATTACAAGACCATTCTATTCTTATAAATGATTATATTTTACAGTAGATAGTATAATGTATCTTATGATATATTTTGTACATATTTACATGTATTACATTTTGTACGTATTTGTATACGTACAAATGAATGTAACTAAAATATATGTACATATGATTTTATCTAATGCATGTGTACAGACATTTTAGTAACACACACACATGTTCAGTCCGCAACAAAAAAAACGAATGACCCTGAATAACTTTCGTTCTAATGATCGGATTTTCGCGAACTAAGTGTCAATCTTAATGGTTCAGGGGGGTGACCTCAAATATGCTAATTAATTAGTGCTAACTATTACTTAAGTTACGAAATCAGACACAAAAACGTACTTTCTCTGAATAAACATATACTTTTTTTTACATATTTGGAATCCTGACACTTAATTTACACTAAATAAAATTTCGAAAAAATTGGATCGCAATAAAGATTTACATATATGGCGAAAGTTTAAAAATGTGCCAAATTACCTCGCCATAGATGGGGAAATAACTGATAACAACCATAAAGAAACTGAATGAATGATAAGACGGGAAAACATAGTGCTTCTCGTTGCTAAGCAATCAAAAAAAAATGTTTCGAGTTGCTTTCTGGTTAAAGGAAACAGATTGTTATTGTTTTTTTAAATCTCCTTTGAAAAGGAAATTTAAATCAATTAATAAATTATTTTTGATTCTCCAAGATTTTAGAATCTTGACGTTGAACTTTCTATCTGACATTATTTATTATTTTAAAGCTGTTTTAACGTCATTTGTATGACAATTTTGAATTAAAACCAAATTTTCATAAGTTATTATTAAATTTATGAAGAGTTGTAGGGTTAATTGCATTTGCACCTCACTTCGAGTTTCTTAGGAAAGGAAAAAGAATGATCAAGCAAAGGTGAACCTGAAAAAAGATAGCTATTCTGATGCATAATCATAAGATTTTATGAAATTCACGGTATTTATATTCGATAAAATTGTAAAACTTAGTAAATGTTATACGGCATTTTAAAAGCATTTTGGTATATATGTATATATATAGTCAACCCTCCTATAACTCGGTGAGTGCGTACCACGTTATATGGAAATCGCGCTATAAGAAACTCGGATTTAACCGTACAAACCAGGCTAATTCGTCGCGCGTACTGTGGAAACCGTCTACCGCGCTATAAGAAACGCAGAATTAGTACAAATCACATCATTCTTACCGCGTTATATGGAGACCAATAAGGACAGGATAAATTATTTCTATTGAATTGAAGAGTTTATATAAAGAAATCATACCAAAATTAAACTAAAAAACTGTTTTCCAACAAAAACAAGAAAGACTTTTGTAAAATTTAATCTTTCAACACTCATCCTCGCTGTCAGATAATATGAGTCGCCTAACTCGTCTTCTTTTAATAGGCAAAATGTCTTCCTCACTTGGCTCATCTTCACATTGGTTTTCGATTGTAGCTTTTTTTTCTAACTCCACTAAAACCTCTCTATAGGGAGCTAAGCAATTTCTTAACTATCTTTTAAACTTTGCTCTACGCACCGTTGAATGATCAGTTTCAATGAAATGGAGTTCTAATTCTTTAGCCAAATTTAGCCCTTTTTTCACATCTTGTAAATCGACATTTGGCACCCATTCGTTTTTCTTATTTTTGTTTACCAATGGATTTGAGGTGGGTGCATCAATTAAATCCATCAGTTCATCCTCATCTAAAGTTTCTTCCCCGAGTACGAGTTCTCTTACATCCTGATGGTTTGTTGTAAATTCTTCATCGCCTAAACGAGAAGCAATGTTTATTATTTCTGTAACTGGGAGTGAAATTGTAGAATCATCTTGTATTGCTTGAACCATTTCAGGTAAAAGGGGTTTCCAACACGCATTAAGCGTTGATGGTTTAATTTCCGCGCAAGCCGATGACACGGTTCTAATACAATCTAAAATAGAAAATTCCATCCAAACTTGAGTAAGGGTTTTATTTTCACTACTTTCTAATCTGTCGAAAATGGTTTGGAAAACTTGGCGTGTGTAATACATTTTTAAAGTTTGAATGACTCCTTGGTCCAAAGGTTGTATTAATGACGTGCAGTTAGGAGGAAGGAAGACAATTTTTATATTTGGATGATCCAGTTGTATGTTGTGGCAACCAGCGTTATTAAGAACCAATAAAACTTTGAAATACAAATTTTTTCTCCATCGTATGGGTTTCCACTGCCGGGATAAAACAATTATAAAACCAATCCTTAAATAAATCTTGGGTCATCCAAGCTTTCTTATTAGATCGCCAGAATACAGGCAATTCGGTCTTATTAATGTTTTTCATAACACGGNCCATTTCAGGTAAAAGGGGTTTCCAACACGCATTAAGCGTTGATGGTTTAATTTCCGCGCAAGCCGATGACACGGTTCTAATACAATCTAAAATAGAAAATTCCATCCAAACTTGAGTAAGGGTTTTATTTTCACTACTTTCTAATCTGTCGAAAATGGTTTGGAAAACTTGGCGTGTGTAATACATTTTTAAAGTTTGAATGACTCCTTGGTCCAAAGGTTGTATTAATGACGTGCAGTTAGGAGGAAGGAAGACAATTTTTACATTTGGATGACCCAGTTGTATGTTGTGGCAACCAGCGTTATCAAGAACCAATAAAACTTTGAAATACAAATTTTTTTCTTCATCGTATGAGTTTCCACTGCCGGGATAAAACAATTATAAAACCAATCCTTAAATAAATCTTGGGTCATCCAAGCTTTCTTATTAGATCGCCAGAATACAGGCAATTCGGTCTTATTAATGTTTTTCATAACACGGGGAGTTGAAGAACGATTTATTTTATCATCAGGCTCCTTGATAGATTGCTGCACATATGAAGGGTTCTTTTGAAGGTTTAAACCCCTGAGCACGCCTTTGATTTTTCAAAATGAAGGTTCTAGATGGTAGTTTTTTCCAATACATCTCATGGGCGTTAAAAATCTGATGAGGTGAATAGCCTCCTTCATTGATAATTCTAGCTAATTCCAGCTTATAATTCTCGGCAGCGTCTGCTGAGGCCTGTTCTCCTTGAAACTTAATATTGTGTAATGAGTACCTTTTTTTTTTTAGTTTTTCAAACCACCCTTTACTCGCGACAAACGAATGATTTTCTAGCTCTGCAGAAGAATGCCCAATATTCCTTAAATGTTCATAGATTTTAAGTGCTTTCTGCTTGATAAGATAAGAATCTTTTTGGCTATACAGTCTTCCAACCAGATCATTAACGCCCGTTCCATTTTAACCATCAGATTAGAATTTCGTGTGCGAGTAACACGTTTAGCACCTAACGGACAGCCGTCTGCCACAGTTTTCCTTATATTGTCTGCATTTTTCTTTAGGGTTCGAATTGTAGATTCATTCAACTTGGTTGATTTTGCAACCGACGATAGTTT